GGCTCCATTCCGAGCCGATCACGAGTACTATTGCGCTCTCTGTCGCTTTCCACTTCTTAAGGACCCCAGGATACACAAGAGGGGAACGGCGGTGTTCTGCTCCACATGGGGATACACAACCCGCAACCTCTCGGCTGATCCTCGCCGAATGCCATCTGTAAATCGAGAACCAGAACCAATAAGCACGTGTTCTGGAAACTTTCCATCAAAGAAACATAAAAATTTGTCAAAAGGAAAAATGGTTTAGGAATACGGTGTTACTATCGTACGTTTTGTTAATCGCTCATGTCTCCTATCTACAAGTACCCCTCAATTTATGCCTTGGCATCATTTACACAGGTAACTACATGTACTAAACGATCTATGCGACGTGCTACAGAGCAGATATATTACTCCGTACCAGTTTACGGCCTCTATATCAGGATCGCTGTAAGGATCCCGTATGAGTGCATCGCATTTAGTTTCAAGTTTTTCCGACGTGGTTGCTAAAATAGGTACATACACCAGTTCCTGGTTTAAGGGGTCGCTGCTGAGCGGGTAATATTTTTAGCCGAGACGTTTGCGAGCGTATGGCACTACCCCTCTATGCCTCGGATTGTCTTCAAAAAACGATTAATTCAGTATTTTGCAACACGGTTAATAGAGGTGGAGGGTGGAGTTTAAGGTTGCGGACCGAGTGATGGCTTATGAAATGGCTTTCTGGCTGACCGATCCCCCTCCGCATCTGTATCAACCACCGGCTCGACGGCCGGCGCTCCAATAGGAGAGCCTCCAGATTTCATCATTTACTATCGCTTCCTAATTAGAGGGAATTATGGCCCTAGGCATGGGACTATTTGGTGTGAAGGGCCTAGTCCACGTGCCGTTACCACAGTAAACGAGCCTTTGCTTAAACTAATAATGGGATTTACAAATAAGCAAATAAGCACGTAACTATGGGCAGATGGCAATACATACATACATACATGTATGGAGATGAGGAAAGATCTGGTTAACTAAACTAACCAACCAACGGGAGTGGCTCGCTAGGTAAGTAGCTGGCTAGGTTATTTCCATCTACTCAATCCGTTAGGGAACCCTTAGTACTCCACTCCACTCACTCTTCTCTGCTCTGCTCTACACCCCTCGACCTACCCTTCCTTATGGTAGACCTACCCTATAATATACTTATCTTATATCCAGGCCGGGCCGCATCGCACATGATATATCGGATAACCCATATAATATCATAACACAAAACTCCCAAGAATCTAGATGCACACTGCTTATACATATACATATGATAATCTAATCATAACTACATCACCTGCCGCACGTACTCTATTGTACATTTTGAGTAATCAAGTAGATCTCAAAGGTACCCACATAGGTCCAGGAGGCAGGGCCCTGACGCTGCTTCTAGAAAGCAAAAAGAAGAAAAAACGTGGTCGTGGCAAGAACAAGCTCCCGAAAAACACCAACACATCTTGGTGGGAGTGAGGGAGCGGGCAATGCTGATGATGTCGTCCAAAGGAATCAGACCCGGGTCCGGATAAGCGCAAATAATAATAATCAACCCGTGTGTCTGGAGCCAATACCTGAAGGTCAAGATTGGCGAAACAAAGGCTGGGACTGGCTGAGACCCTTGTGTCGGATTGTGTAAGGCCTTAGTCGTCCAGGTCCAGAGCATATGCCCATGCGGATGTAACTATAGTACGCAACTGGAGTACATACATGTACCTACATACTGCATATGCATGTGGACTAGGTACAATGTTCATACGCTATGGTTGCGCTTGGGCTTGGGCATGCACCGGAGATCAGGGTTGGCCGGCGTACAGCATTTATACGTACTTCCAATTATCATACCAACCGGTCAAGAACCTCTCTGGATGTCTCATTTCTAGAGAAATAACAAATATTTTCCAAAAAGTCAAATGGGTGGTAAATAAGATCATCTTGGCAGTGCTATCATAGCATTACATATGGATGCTCAAATACGGGTTTCAAGCCGTATTTGGAGGAGGAGGAAATCCGAATTCTAACGCGTGCTGCAATCTAAGGGATGCGGCGGGTAAACACCGCTTTCTTTTCTTCACTCCATTTACTTGTACGCAGCTGGAAAAAGCATGGTGCTCCATCTAACCAGTCAAAACTATGAAATCTGGTACGATACGATCGATCGAGCAAGTTGTTCTGGCATTTCCCAGAGACAGCCTGAAGAATGGTTCTTCTTCCTTTTTCCCCCTTCGAGTCAACATCATAAACTACGAGACGGTCAGACCAAATTGTATAGGTACTCTACGTATGTGTGCAAAGGTCGAGGTGTGGTTCGTTTCCGGCGACCTGGCTTTGGTTGCTCTGGAGGTTTAGTTTGTTGCTCCATGAATCGAATATTTCTGTCCCTGTCTCTGTTTCTTTTTTTATGTGGAGACTCTGGGGTGCCGTTTTCTTGTTCGGTTTTCCTTTTTCCTCTTTTTTTTTTTTTTTTTTTAATTTTTTTAGCCTTGCCTTGCCTTGCCTTGCGTTACGTTGCCTTGTTTTGTTTCTGCTTATGTGAGGCGTGTGTCGCAGTGAGCGAGTTTTCATCCTGACCTCAAGACATCTTTGCATCGCAGCAGTGCAGTGCAATGCAGTACAATTAATGATCTACTCTACGTACTCGTTTAGCATCAAAAAGAACCAAAAAATGTAGTTGCTCAAGGATACTTTGTATGGAATGTCGGTAATCTCTCATAGGTATGTCCGGATCATCCCTGTCTCCATCACTTGCGTTTTCTGGTTCGTGGTAAACGAGTATAAACTAACTACATGTACCTACATGTACTTTGTAACCATGTCCCTTAGAGTAGTATGTACTCGCGGCAGACAAGAAGAACCTGAACATCGTTTTTCTGGTAGCAACCACTTTGACCCCTGCTAGCGCGTTTTTATGTTCAGGTTCTTGTTATCTGTCGCGAGTAGCTCCCCCCGTCCCCCTTCTTCTCCTTCTCGGCCGCAACAACCACAACACCAGAGTAGTACGTACCAAGGACTTCCACTGCCCAAATCTCGGAATCTGTCGCCATCGATCCCACGTCCCAGCCCCATCGACCCATCCATGGCAAGCTCCGGCGATCTGCAGAGAGCGGTGTGTGTCTGTGCACGGAGAAAACGTTGGCGGCACATCCCGAAGCAGGCAGCGCAGGGGAAGGGAGAGGGGTCGGAGGGGGAGCTGGACTGGGGAAAACGGAACGAGCGTAGGTACTCTAAATGTAGTCTATCTACAAGTTGTTCAAGTCTGCTAGACTCCTCGGCGACCACACCTCCCTCCCTCCCTACCTCCATCCCTCCTGGGGCCGCTATCAATCCCATCAGACCGGTCATGGTCAAGAGTAGGTAATTTCAGCTACTCTAGCTGTCGTATGTACCTGCATATATTCCGTCCCAGCACCACGGGTAATGCTTGGCGCTGGGTGGGTGGGGGTACGGAGATGGTGATGGTGATGGTGATGCATTGAGTATTCGGTACTTACATAGGTACCAAGTACTCTAGATGGTGGATGGTATTCATATTAGACCTTTGAATCCACCCTTTGCACATCCCACCCCCACGTTTCGCAAGATGTACGTTCGGCGACTTGGGAGGGGACCTTTGTTAGTTTGGTACTTGACATGGAGTCAGGGACGACCCCGGGGCCAAGAGTACTTATATACTTAAAGTAGCGGGCCGCGGTGAGCAGAGGACATCACGCGCATGGCATGGGGGAAGCAAAGGATTCGATTGGCTACAAGACATATACAGATGACAGATGGAATACCTAGGGTTGGGTCTTGGTAGTCCGTCAACTACATGGAACTCTACATATGTAGCTATACTGCATGAGACGTGGTTTTGGCATTCTGGGCTGCGGTGAGGCCCGGATGGCAACATGACATGAAGGATGAGAGGCTGCTCCCGGAGACTAGACTGGAGGGCTAGGGGGAGACCCGGTTGTCGGCATGCATTGAGGACTTAATTCTTTGTATGGAGAATACCACGTACCACTCTCGGATCCGGCCATGGTCCACCGGCTACGCACCCGTCCACCCGCCCAGCCGGCTGCCTATCTGTCTGTCTGGTGATGCGGTACTATACAGCATTGTGGATAGATGAAGAATCCTGGATAGAGTAAATTCTTGCTTACAAGCGCCTCCTATATACGATACGGCTGCAGCCAGATCCAGCGCAGCGCTGTTTATGGATATACAAAATTGCCCCATCAAACCCAGATGGGTATATGGCAACTACCGGCGCGGCGCGGGTATGTACAGGCTGCACAGCTCCCTGAAGCGGGTGTGGGCTGGTGCTGGTTCTCGTAGACGGGTTCTAGAGGGTGGTCATGGGGTGTCACTCGGTTTTGGTCTGGGTGGGATTGCATGATGCGGAACATGGCTGGATCTTGTCATACAGATTTCTGAAAGGACCTTTTTAGGCTCTGTGGATTAAAAGTACGTGGAGATCGTACCGATATACGTGCATATTCATGTGAGGTTTTGATAATCGACGATGGCGTCCCGGTCCCAGCGACGGATGAGAAATGTGATTCCTTGTATATACTCTGCTCTATATACTTACATACATAGTAAGTCAGAGTTCCGGTGGCTCGTATCTTGAAACCGCCGGCTGAGTATCTTTCACGCATACCCCACATACATTCACGGTTCCAGGCCAAGGGATTCTCCCCCGTTCTTTGTATCACTGAGAGACCTACCGTTTGTAGTGTCGATTAGATCTGCGGCTTTATGTAGGTCTCATACATCCCACCGTAGCCGGGGTTTGTGTCGCAGTTGGCGTCGGGACCGGCACCGGGTAGGTTGCGGTACGGGTAGGTTGGTCACAACCCATCACTCGCACGTACCGGTAATCTACGAGGCTCGGCCGAGATCTGCGGCAGAGATCTGTGGTGCCGGTGCCGGTGCCGCAGATCTAGATATCACTTCTCCCGCTGGAATTGACTACGTACTTTAATTCATTATACGCACACTATGTTCCAGCACCACTAAAATATGCCAACTCGATTCCTCTGGCCGTTCACATCATATATATGAGCAGTCCCGGCCCCAGAGACCTCGCGATCACCTACGGGGGGCTGGCACTCTCGTAACAGCGGTTTTGGCGCTGGGTCACCCGCTATGTGTATAGTACGGTAATCGTACACACTCATGAGCGTAGCCGGGTACCTACTGTTAGTTATCTTAACGGCGAGAGCTTCGGTCGAGACAAGCCGCGGGGTCATCAGTCTGGTAGCTCGACTACCGCCGTCGCCGATACTGTGGATGAGAGGTGTCTATGCAGCTTGGTCCTTGGGTGAAGATCTAGAGTCCATGTTTGCGGACAATGCCTTATGCTTAAAAGAGGAATGGGGGTGTTCCTAGCTATGTTTTGTTCAAGCTACTGCCCGGGTTGTACTCCGCTTCGATACGCATATAGGGAGTCAGTGAGTGGAGCCGTCGAAATCCCTGGCTCGCTATGTCTTTGTTCTGCTGGTCGACATGGTTGAAGGTGCTGTTTGAATCTGGCTATGTGGTATACCTATATACAGGCTAAAACAATACTTCGCCACTCCAAGACTAGCATTCGAAAAGGAGCAGAACCAACTTAAAAGAGCAAAATCATCATTACGGAAGCCACAGCTCCCTCCACCCCGATATCAGTGGTGGATATGGTTCTCAATCCCTGCCTTTTATACGGATTTCCTACAGGGGATAGAAATGATACCGTCCGCCGAGCGAGTAGAGGTTTCATCTATACTGCCGGGGTACGTACGTGCATCTGCATGGTTGATTGATATTGTGTTTCTCGTGTTGGAGTAATATGTTAATAGTATCATTGACTGCTAGAATATACAGAGTCACATCACGATACAGAGATGAAGAATGGGCGATTGATGTATGGGTGTCTGTGCTAAACAAAACTATAGTTCAGGGCGTTTACACACTCAAACCTGCAAAGAGACCATATTCAGGGATATTGTGAGTAGTAGAAAGCTGAACCCCGTAATATCCGGTACGTACACAGTACTGCCTAGCTATGATATGTCCCCAAATCTGCTAACCGCAATGCTCCCGATATATACCTGAACGCTGAGTGCAAAAAGCTGAAGGGTTGCATAATTTTAGAGTGTGAGTTATATGACAGTAATTATAACCTGAGTGGAACACTAGCTAGCAATTCACCTGGCATTCGACATTCGATTCACTCTCTCGATCTCATCTATGCTAAGCCTATCGCAACTTGGCAATTTGTTAACTATATCTGCCATTTTCCCTTACTGCAACAGCGGCCAATTTTACCCTGGGCATGGTCTTCCTCCCACTATAAATCCAGCTCAAACTCCACCTCTCTCTTCTTCTTTTACAAATTACGCTTGCATGCTTTCGTGTCTTGCTCTGGCAAGGAGGAGAAGCTTTCTTAGTTGTCCTGTTTTCTAGTGTAAAAACAGCTGTAAGTTTAGCTGTGTGGCCCTCTGTTCACGAACACGGCTTTATTCTCCGTTTCCCCCCTTTTAAATCTTTGAAACGGGAACCGCGAAGCTACGGTTTCTGTAATCTTTGGTGGGTTAGGGTTTCTTTTAGATCCGTAGTTTTTTTTCTATATACTTGTAGCTACTTATAGCTTTTCTTTCCTTTGTATATAGTTTTATTCGTTTATTCTTTTGTATTTAGTTCATTTGTTTTTCTATATAATTGATTTCCCTTTTGCCAATGAACTACATGTATTTTCTTTCATGTGAATATCCCACTTGCCAGCTCTCTACTACCGGGGTATTGTCATAACCTCCGGGTTGCATACAATTAAATCAATCAATCAATCAATCTACTACCGGGGTAAATGCATCAATTGACACATTACCCACACAAACGAATGAAGTAAATTCATCAATTAATTCATTTACGGTCGAGACCTTTTGTAAATGAATCAATTGATGCATTTAATGCATTTACTCCTGTAGGTTTTTTGGAACACATTTCCAGATGCCTTTGACTGATACCTTTCCTGGCACGTTTCATATCACCTTTTCTTGACACCTTCCCTGACACCTTTCCTGATGTCTTTACTGATGCTTCCCCTTCATAGATGATATGTATATAGGATTAATAAGGTTTAAAACTGTACAAATACATGTATGATATGGTCAATGTGGTGGGATGTCAAACAGCTAACAAGAGACCATAGGTTCGATTCCTTTTGTAGCCACAGACTATAAAATTAAATATATGTACTTATATTTTATGCCACTTGTCCCCCTTTTATCTATTTACTGATTCCCTTCACGGTTCGTTTACTGGTTCGTTTGTTTGTTCATTTACCGATTCGTTTACTCGTTCGTTTCAAGGTTCATTAACCGATGTATTGTTGATGCATTTATTAATGCATTCACTATTACACTGGCAGCACTGATTCGTTTCTATAGGCTACATGTAGTAGAGGCTGCAGGGCATGTTGGGCGCCAAGACATGTAGTAAAGAACCCCGGGGAGGGGTGGTGACAGGCCCTTTTTTTTGGCACCCTCATCATATAACGAATTAGCACATTTGAGTTAAAATTGGTCCTCTCGTGGCCCAGCTATCGCCGAATATGAATCATTTCCTAATTCTACCATGTAAATGTAATATTCGTTGGCCTCGATCAAGTGTAAGCCGCCTCATAAACTACACTGCTACTGCTGTTGGAGAGAAATCAGTCAGGTATGTAGTTCTAGGCGTGTCAAAAGTTTGAGGCGTTGCCATTAAAGTCCAAATTAACAACGACGACGAAAACCTAAATTAAAACAGCCAAGTGTTTCCATTATAACAGCGTTATCGACCCTCAAGCTGCGCTCTTGCGACTATGAATATTTTCTCTATCATATCTATGTCGAACTATCTGTTAACAAGCATACCCGAACGCACTTGGCAAAGGGGACTTAAATAGGTTCATAGATTATCACTCGGGTTTGGATTACAGCGTCCCGAAGACGCCCTCATCCGCCAAGCTAGTGCCATCATGATAAAAGCCCGAACACAAATTCCACACAACTTACTGTACCTACATCTACCAATCTCTACCTTTAGCTTCGAGTCATGCGGCCCGCCATGACAGCGGCGCGAGTGATACTCTATGACAAAAAGCCAGGCCGCGCGCGGCTCTCGGTTATGCCGCCCTGGCAGTGCGTTGCCTCGGGTGCTCTACGTGGGGTGCGGAACCTCAAACACTGGTTGACTCAATTGATCAACCTCCCATGCCCGCAAGCCTCGGTCTTTCCAGCACCCAGCACTCAGCGCCATTCCCACCCAGCCTGCCCACACTATGGGCCCAGAGCGGACCAAAGTGAAAAAAAAAAAAGCGGCGAATACCGCATCTTAAGACACAAAGGCTGGTGATCGAGTCCCACAGAACCAATCCCCCCAACAGCGAGTTTCCTGTTATGTGATCTGTCGCCCACCAACTGCCGGCCGGCTGGTTGGCTGACATGATCCACGCGTTACAGATTTATGACGTCCGCACACATTCGGGCCCACAGCTAGCTAGCTGCTACTCTAGTCATGCTCTATATAATACCTACGTATGCCCTATCTGGGCCCGGTCCCAGCCTCGCCTCACTATATTGCAAACAATCGGTGAGGGGAGGGGAATGGCTCCCGACCTACCTCGAGTGTTCACTGCCCGCAGACACATGCACATACGGGAATGGGTGGCCGATGGAGGGAGGGAGGTTCTTTATAATATCGCGCACGCAGAAAGTCACGATACCGATCCCGGAGAATTAGCCGCATTCGCCATGCTCTAATCTCGGTGTACGTCTGGCTGGTCCCGATTAGGCCGGCCGCGGCCCCCACGGCATGTCAGACGGACAGCCTCGATGCGGAGTTGGGAGGGTAATAACTAATTGATATGATTGTAGATCAGGGCTTGATGGAAAGTGGGGGGGTTTCTGGACAGGGGTTCAACGACATTGGGCGGGTTGTGTCATTGGATATCACTCGGATGCAGGACCGTTGAGGTGCAGTTGCTGTTGAGCTCGGTGCTAAGCGCCGGAAATTACGAATTACGCAGCAAGAATGGCGGAGGTATTATGCCTAAAGTATGTTATCAGAGGATCTTTTTAATATCAGATGGCTCTTATGACGACTCCACGAGGTGTTGAGTATTTGCTAATTGGTCTAGGCATACCGGCGTTTCCATCTCACGTTCGGACAGCTAACGTAGAAAGGTAATCTACGCTACAAGAGGTTTTCTCATCATTTTTTCGCCAAAAAAATACATTTCCAAGTTAGGGAACCGTCCGAGTGAGAAACGGGAATGGCTGGTTCCGTTCTAGTTCTAGTCGAGCTTTCAAGAGTAACATCCAACAATAAGCTGCAATGTTGCTATGTGGTCTGGTTTTCTACTTAACTCTACAGAACTTGGTCATGTGATCCGCGAGGCTACTGGAGGGGAGCAAAGTTGGATTCCTTTAGAAGAAAAATAGGCACTAATTATAGTCCTATATTGAATTATCATGTAAGCTCCCCAGTTTCTGTGGCAATTTTTACGGGGTCAATTTTTCAGCTTCCTTCCTATTGTATACTGATATCCTAGCGCCAATAACAGTATTTTCGGAGTTGTTGAGGTTTGGTTGTCTTCTATAATAGGGAGCTCCGAAAACTACCTAGACACGGCTGTACCTACATTCACTTAGGCGTAAACACCTAAAGACTGTACCCGTCCTTTAAAGCGCCACAAGTTTGACATTTCTTGTAGGGGAAAAGAAGCCAAAAATATGCCTGATACTAACCAATTATTGACCGTTATCTGATCTAAATCAATCTCCTAATCGCCAACCTAGGCTTGACCGATTAGTTTATTATGGGAAAATGCCAACATTTAATAGACTGTTTAGGAATAGAGCTAGAAGAACGGGATACTAATACTGACGGACATCGATCCATTCTCCTTGCGGTGAACGCAGGTACGTGTTTTGTGACATCTGTTAGGTCGGTCTAGGATACTGGAATGTATGATCACATTCGACCAGTTATTATATTATGCTTACGTAAACCCGAGACAAGCTAGGAGACCCCCGTGAGCTTGATCAAGCATGCCCGTCCTATAGACACTACCTGGTTTACACACTCTCAAACAAAAACCTCTTGCACAATGCGCACTACTTAGGGAGGGAGTCCCGAGGATGACCGTGTACCGAGGAACACCCGAATTCCCGGATGTTAGAGCTCGAAACCTGGATGTAGGTATTCTGGTACATACCCGATGATATGATACTGGTGTGTAGTTACATGTAGTAAGCCTGTGTGTCTCTAGCTCTTCGTATAAATTGAAATCTCAGCTAGCTGCCTGCATGTTCCCTGAAGCCGACCTCGACAGGTATCAAAGGTTTCTTAAAAAGATCTAAGGTAAGAATAGCCTCGAGAAGAAAGGTCTAACTCCCCAGAAGGAAAAGCGGGCATGCATATATCTAATCCTGGAACCCAGGTCGGATATATACGTGAAATCAAGTTAGTTCGTTGAGAATAGTCTAAAGGGGCTTTCGTCGTTCTCTAAACTACGCGGTAATTATGAAACAATGCTATTGTGGTGGAATAATTGCCTAAATAATGTTAGGTATGGATCATGGATTCTGACTCGCATCCGGTGCCTACGTAATATTCCATTGTATTATAAATGAGCGTAATTGAGCTAACAATGAGAAAATAGATAAAAACTTTCAGAATCATTCTGTCAAGATTCTCTCTCTGGCACAATCTGTGAGGACTGTGAGGACTGCGTATTTGGTCAATGGGTTCAGTGCGCATGCCAATCGCAATCTGATCACTAACCCTTCGAGTCAATCATTTTTTATTTAAGGGTTTAATTTGCTATCCATTGAATATATTCTCTGGGAGAAAAGCCCCGTCCAACATTTCTATATTCTGACGTGTTTTGATAGGAAAAAGGAAGAAGAGTCGTCGACAGCATGTGCAGCATAGCATGGGTGCACAAAATCCATAAATATCATTAGCAGGAACCCACAACTGCCAAGCGAAGTCAGCAGACAACTACCGGAAACTTAACCCCGCTATTCTAAAGGCATTGCTTCCCGAGCCCGCTACATTGGGTGGTACTCTAATCAGACGGGGGACGGTGTTAAAACCAAGTTTCGCATTTTGGACTTGGAATGGTTTGAAGCCTGAAACCAGATATTTATCAAAGCGTATGACCTGATGACGGACAGACCGTCTGGTAATGTGTTTTACGCAGATCTCCGAATGAAAAGGATCGCCGTCTAGTGCATAAGGACTGACAACATGCATATCATGCTCATAATAGTTCCATCTATACCACATCAATATATAGACATGACTTGATAATCAGCTGTTCAACTGGGGCGAGCAACCTTGATATTATATGGTAATCCTCTCATCCCCCACTGACCATATCAACCCCCACTGACGAGCGCAAGGTAAACTCGAGCTTAGAGGGCTACTGTCAAATCGCACACGGATCCGCTGCCGGTAGACATAACTGGTTTAACCGGCCATACGTCCAGAAGTTCGGATCGTATCGTACACGTCAATTTGCAGCTGCATCTGGGTAGCGTAGCCGCTCAGTATGCGATCTCATTTTCGCTTTCTTTATATTCGATCTTCGGGAGGAAATTTCTTTTCTGAAATTTTCTTTTTACAACGACATATATGCCAAAGATGACAGGTCCAGCCGATTGAGGATCAATAACTACATGAAGGGTACATATAGTTGGTGCCAACATATGGAGATAATGAAACCTCTCCTCCCCCACTGTTTATAAACAGAGCTATTTCCATTATATATTGGAAATTTTATGATTGGCATTGTTTTAGGTTAGCTCGTTTGTTGGTTACTACTTGGCTAGCTTGATATCAAATCAAGCTTTCCATTGTTCGCCCGACGGGCCGGCAGGCAAGCATCAATTCGCAATTTGTGCACTTCGGTTGGTTGATAAAATATACCATGTCGTATTGGACTAGGCTCCAAGTCACGAGCTAGTTCATGCCTAGATTGGGCATAATTATATAACCCAATAATCCTATTACGGTCCTTTCTTTTGTGTTATTACGCACTCCGTCGGGGAGGTGCTGGTCCCACCTCATATCAATTCGCGATAGATTAGAACCCTACGATACAGTAAGATGGAGATGTTACTCGATGGCGGGGAAGAAATTTGGGGAATTCGGGAGGCAGCAGCTAGTAAGAAGGCGGGAACCCATGCGCGTATGACGCCTAAAGCAAGTTGATTGAGAGTCTATTTATCTTCTCCAACATTCCATATGACTAGCTGCGGCAATTCTAGTGAGCTCTTGTTCGTTGCGCCGGCGAAATGTGTGGTGCCATTGACGCTTGGTAAACTGTGCTGGTACGACTAGAACCATGACAAAGAACCAAGGTGGACAGTGATGGTTTCTCGTTTCTTGGTCTGAAGTGGTAATTTGCTACGATACGATGCCGGCGACTTTGATGTTTGGATAATAAATGGTTGTATCTCATGAGGATAGTTATAGTTATGGAAGGTAGTGGACTCATGAACGTCATTGTACATAGATATCTTCCACAATACCTTCCTTTCTGCGGAGACTCGTCCGCAATCTATGCCTGGCCCACGTTTTTCCATTTCCGACATACGAGTACTCTTTTCAGCTCCCCAGGTAATGGAATAATGGGGGTGTGTCGATCATGATGAGAAACTCTGGAATAACACTGTCGTATCATATCAGACTATGACTGCAGAAGCAGTATTGGGAACATGAATGCAAGGTCTCGACATGTCCAGAGAAAAACTGCTTCCCAGCGGCACTGTTATCTCTAATCCCTTTCGGTAATAACTTTAACCTCAACCCACCGCAAAAACCTGCGCCCTGTAAGCCCTTTTAACATGGTCTCACTTTCCCGATATCGTTATGGATTTCGGGAAACCTAAGAAATCTTCTACCAAAATTCGGGAGTTGATCCAAAGGGTAAGGTTGGGAGAATCCTCCAGACCAGTGTGTATTTTGAGGTATTTCCTGGTCCATTCACCGATGGCCGTGCATCTGGTACACTTGAGCAATACCTTGCAGACAGCGCGTTTAAGATCCATTCATACATGGTTATCCAGGAACATCGCCTGTCAAAAACATCCTGACTTAGCCTGCTGCCGATAAATCCCTAGTGTTAATACCCCAATAAAATATCCCTTGTAAATGGCCTTGACCGAGGCAGATTCCGAATATCCTTTCGTGTAGATATGTACGTATTGGGGAGGAGTGGGAGCAGGGATGATAGCTCAAACCGCGCGGGGCAAAAAAAAATCAGACCACAAATTTCAATAAACTGCACAAATCCAGAGCACCGGGCAAAAGAAATTTGGCTAAGGGGGGGTAAGAACGGAAAAAAGTCACGCCATAATCAGGTGGCCCTTTTTTTCTCTCTTTCCCTCAGATATGAAGGCTGGTACATATTAGATTCCATCCGGGGCACAGTGCACCTATACCAGATGCAGGGTCAGACCATAGCAATATCTTGATTTCTAAGATCTTCATTGGTGTTCTCTCGCGCCGGCACTCTGGATCCATAAAGACGACGGTGACAAAGGATGGTTCTGGTAGGGCTGCTGCGGGACGCTATGCGTCTACTCTATCTCGGTGTTCAAGTTTGCCGTACACAAGGGACGGATGAGATGTCAGTTAGAGTAGATGTGGATTAAACTGTAGTCATCCGTGGTTGTCACAACTGGGAAGTTATGTGTGGAACTTCTAGAGCCCGTTCCTTGAGGTTGGAAATATTGCTGGACGTGCTCTAGTGGGTCGTTTTTTGAGGGGACTTTGTTGCCTCGACGCCATACATTCACAGCTGAGGTTGTGTTTCTGCTTGTACAGCTGTCAAAAATCATCCGTTCGAATCCGGCTTCATTCAGCCTTCCCACCCCTCTGGTTTACTTTGCTTGTTCGTTTCCCGAGAACTCGTATCATAAACTCCTAATTCTGGTATTACGCATCGGCCGAGATTTTCCCCAGTCCATTACAAAGAATCAGTGTGTCTCTGAATGCGCGCTCGGGATCACGTCGCAAGCCTCTTTGAGAACGCCACCTGAGATCGATAAGCGTAAACGCAGTAGCGGTCAATGGAGGCGTTTGATTGTGGGAGAGATTTGTTAGATCAGTATCCAAAAACGCATGCAGAGTTTCTCACATCTCACGAGCCTCTGAGTGCTCCATGCATCAGGATCCTTCGGCATCAAAAGAGTTTGCAGCTAACCCCTTTCCTCTTGCAGGTGGATTTCGTGGCTGCTTGTCTGGCTGCCATTGAGTGAGTCGCACCATTTACCTCCGAGCCTCGAGACAAACATGAAGAAAGATAAAAGAAAGGAATAGCGAAAGAGAACGGGATTGGGATAGGAAAAGGCAAGGAAAAAAGGAAAGGAAAAAAAGAAAGGAAAAAAAAAAAAAAACTAAATAAAAAAAAACTCTCCCAGCTTCCGGGAAAACGGGCTTCCATTCCATCTCCGGGTTTCGCAATCTACCGAATCTCATAGATTTTCTTCCTTATTATTCTCCTCCTTCCACATCATCATACTTTTCATTTTTACCCACCCATCCCACTTTTTGCGGCAATCCTAAAAAATAAAAAATATATAAGAAGTTAGTGCGACAACCTGTACTCTACAAAAGTAGGTCAGGCAACTTGAGCCCATCAGCTCATTGCGCCTGTTGTAGAGCTAGAGGCCAAAAATTCAGGGTAATCAGGCGGCGCTAGCAGGAAAGCGGTGTGATCGGGTAACGTACATTGGGTGATTTCCCTCTCTAGTTTCCATATATACTACTTCAACTGCGTCCTTCCCACCCACCCCGCATATCATTGTGCACGCGGAGACCCGGTTACAATCTCCATTACAGACAGCTCTACCTATCCAAAGTTGTTATCGTTCTCAGCAGTTATCTATACAAACGGTTTCTAGCAGCTACGAACATCGCAAAACAGCACGGAAAATGACTGTCATGGAGGGTACCGACCGTCAGGAGATCGTCATAATAGGTGAGAAAAATTTCCTCTTAATTTCCCAATGTTGCTAAATTCTGGTTACATAGGCGGTGGCATTATTGGTTGTACGACAGCATATTACCTGACAAGACATCCTGCCTACGATCCATCAAAGCATTCAATCACGGTAATCGAGGCTACAAGAATAGCTGGTGGAGCATCTGGAAAGGCTGGAGGTCTTCTTGCAGTATGGGCATATCCAAACAATATTGTTCCCCTGAGCTTTAAGCTACATCAAGATTTGGCACAGGAACATGGTGGTGAAGAGAATTGGGGTTACAGAAAAGTGTCGTGCGGAAATCTGGAAGCAACGGGCCGAGGGAGGACTGAGTTGGAACGATTAGGTGGACAAACTGGAATGTCGTTGGGAAAGAGGAGCGGGGAGAAGGGGAGGAAGGTCACCAATGGAGGAAGGAGTGCGCTTCCCAAAGACCTAGACTGGATACTACCAGATCTTATTAAGGGATATGAAAAGATGGGAGGAAGTAAGGAAACAGCACAAGTGCACCCTTATCAGTTCACGATGGCTATGATTCATCTTGCGGAAGAACGAGGCGTCAAGGTCATAATCGGATCTGTTAAAGACATTAACTATGCTGAAGCCAGTCCATCGCCCACCCCAATTACTCCTCCATCAGAAGCCAATAGTTATTTATCGTGTCCACCATCCCCAGCGCTCTCGTCGGTATCTTTGGGTTCTTTTTCGTCAGGCCGTAGTACTCGTCGAAAGGTAAAATCAGTGACATATGAGGATCGTGAGACGAAAGAAATACATACAATTCCGTCTACAACAACCATTCTTGCAGCAGGACCATGGACTTCAAAACTTTATCCTTCTGCGCCGATATCTGGGTTACGAGCGCACAGTGTTACCATTACCCCGGCCTCACCTGTTTCGGCTTATGCTTTGTTCACCGAGATAACTATTCCTCCTACGCCACCATCTCCATCATACCGGTATCATTCATCACGGAATATACAGGCGGCACCGGTATCTCCAGAGATATATTCACGCCCAAATAATGAAATTTATGTTTGTGGCGAAGGGGATATGGAAGTGGAGGTTCCCGAGACGACCGCAGACGTGGAAGTTGATGAGGATCGATGTGATGACCTGATAGCTCAGGTCAGCTCTATATCGGACCATATTCGACTTGGACGGGTAACGAGAAAACAAGCTTGCTACCTACCAATTCTAAGTGTGGGTGGCCATGGAGGACCTTTGATCGGCGAAACGGGAACTGAAGGCCTCATGATGGCTACGGGCCATAGTTGCTGGGGTATTAACAATGCACCGGCCACTGGGAAGTTGATAAGTGAAATGGTTTTCGACGGAAAGGCCATTAGCGCAGATATCGGCCAACTGGATCCACGAAGGATACTGTGAGTTCGGTAAAAGAGAAAGAAGGGGTGTGCAAACCAATCGACACCCCACTCCACTCCGCTGTGCGCAAACATTATTTCAGTTTCTCTTATTACTTGTCTTCTTGGATTGTCGTAATTGAGCAAACCGACAACCAAACATGGAAGTTTCACTCGTGGATTTTTTCGGTAAGCAATCAGACGCGGAAGAGAGGCGTTCCCGGCTTCTGCATCTATACCATCTGAAAAAGCCGCGGCTCAAACGTCTCTCTGTCTACATCAAGGTGCTTAGTTTTTTTATTTAATTTCTCATACTACCCTGAACAAAAATTTCCTTTGTCGATGGAGTGGTGTGTATTGGGGATAGCATTATTAGCTAGGGTTCTCTATGCGTTTTCCCCACCTTTTTTTTATTTTAGCGATTTTCTTTTTCATTTAGTACACTGCTTTCCATCTGATTCTCGTTACGCGCATGGTTTACGGAGCAGGCTGGGTTATCTTTTTATTTTTCCTTATTTCGCTTACTACTTACTATCTTACCTCTATAACATTGACACGATTCACATCACTTCCATCTGTTAAATTTTTCATCAGGCCACTCCACCTTGGCTGGCCAGGAATGGTTTCTTCTTCTAGCTTGATATCTAGTTCTGCTTTTTTCTTGTTTCGTTTTCTGGGATAGGGAACGGACGGTGGTGCCTTTTCTGGGTTTTATGGCTATTGGTATTGGTTGGTACACTGTCAACAATTACATATGTAACTGTTTGCGGGCGCGAAATGACACGATGAATGGAACTATTCATGTAAATTATATAACCAATCACGTGCCGAGAAGTTTACAAACAGGGAAGTCCTAGTGATTTGGAAGTTGTGAATTGCGATCTCTCCGAACTGTGAAAACAAAAAGGGGTATTGAGCTTTGGCTCTTGAAATATTTGTTGGGGTCTCGTTGCAACGCAACATGATTGGTATCCAAGTCAGGATTGTGATTGATCATACACATCCGTTGATAAATGATCCAAGGCGGACCCAAATTTAAATGTAGCCTAATATCTACATTACTACACTTTGAATTCAGTTAAACCCTTACAATATATTCTTGGACCATAGACGTGTCTCTGTAGTTAATAATTAGTTGATGGTATATCAACATTGCTAATTCACCACTCCAAGGTGCATACCTTGCTGACATTCCACATCCCACAGGCCTAACCTTCTATCACCAGTGTATACCAATTACCTTTATTCAAAAGAAGCATCAAATATAGAGAATTGACGTATTCAGTAACATTAAGAACGTAAAAAGTATTGTAATGCCATAAATCCAGCGCTAAATCATTGTCTGGTCAGAATAAGGAGATTGGTTGTTAAAGTAGGTGCTGGACGATTATCAATTGATTGTCTTGGCGTTGTTTGGGTCGAGTGATAAGATGTGATTGAAGTGGGTGTCCAACCCTGGACTGTGCTGGGTGGACTAGTTGTAAGTTCCTTGGGATTGTAAATCGCACAAGTCCTATCAAAGATGCTGTATCAGTAACAGCTTATGTACTTGTAGGCTTATTTAATAGGCCACGCGAATCACATGTAATACAAGGGTTGTAGGGCTTTTATATAAATACTCAGCCAGAACATCCACATCATGCCGTTGCTGTTCCGAACTCATGCATGGTCTAATAGAGAGATGTCTTGAAATGAGCACTAGTCGAAGATATAGGGGCATATAGAGGTGTGGTAGACACTGACAGCTGAGTTTGACACCTAACCCTGGTGCCAAGCCGGCTCTTACTGAATTGTCTTGGAACAACTCACCATGTACTGTGCTGTAGTATTCGGAAAATATGTGATTTGGAAATATATAAAGAGTAATGTACACGAAGAAACAACCCCAAGTCCGCAAGCACTACTCGTCATGAACGTATTGCAAAGAATTAAGAGAATATACTTTCCTTAAAAACACCCAAACGAACCCAATCAACTCTAAACCATGACGAACCCACCCAAACCGTCCAATCCCCCCCTTATCCCTCCAACCTCTACAATCCCCTCTTCCCGCCCAAGCTCGTAACTGTTTATACTTCCGTCAACATAAACCATCATCAACCTCCATCTTTTTCTTCCCCATACACCCAGACCTCCACCTCTTCCCCTTCGTCTCTCTTGTACGGGGCTCACTGCAACTCCCAGTAACGCTACTGGTGGGCGTCTTTCGCTTCCGCGTTCATTCACTTCATCTTCACGGGGAAGAATAGTATCTAGACGCATACCGAATACGTCCCCGACACGGGTTAGTCGGAAGATTGCAGCACGTCCTTTCTGGGAGGCAGCGATGACAAGGGAAAGGTCAGGAATGCAATGAACCATATTGAGGCGATCGATTATATCACCAAGATATTGTACAGCCGGGAGTTGGTTTTGCTGATGAAGCGGAAAAAAGCAGACTACATTTGGTGTGAGGTATGGGGTAAGTGTAAGGAGTTGGCAATTCCGTTCTGTTGTTGAGAAGATGAAAGAGACCGGAGGCTAGGTTGGTTATTAGATTGCATGTTCCGTATTAGAATAAAAAAAGGTTCAGCACAAACCTGCGCAGGCTTCTCCTCCCCTTCGTCCTCATCTGCGTCATCATACTCATCATCTCTATCTCCATCGTGTGCTTTTCGTCTTTTTCCATTATCATGAGCTCTGCCAGTCTCACACGATTTGTCGCCTTCTCCTTCACTATCCTGGACAAACTCAACAACGCGCACAGGCCCAATTGTATCTAGAATATTATCGCGCTGTTCGCCATCGCCTTCAAGACCGGACCCAACATCTGTAGTGCCAACGACGGAAGCAGGAACAGAATGGTAAGTCGCTGCGGTTTCCTCCTGAGAGTCAGTTGCGGACGTAGATGCACTAGTATCGGTCTCGCTCCCTTCCTCAGTTAAAAGTTCAACCTGTCCTCCTCCAGGAACTATGAAAACCTGAACTTCATGGCTGTCTACATCCTCGCTACTTTGGTGTGACCCTTCATCCTCCTCCTCCTCCAAATAGTCATCATCATCATCAGAGCGTTCATCGGGCATAAGCATGCGAGAAGTGCTCTGATGGGCGGTGTGTGGTGATATGTCCCATGCACGAGCTTCATGGAAGCGTGGGTTCGTCGGCGGATCATAATAGTCTGTTGGGAGTGTCTGGATACCATGGATAGTATTCTTCTGGGGTTCTCGACCAACCTGCGAGGGAACAGATTTTCCAAGGGCTTCGTAGATGTTTGAGACTGGTTTAAAGGTTTGAGGCTTTAGGAACAGCACGGACCAGCCCATACTAGGAGAAAAAAAGGCAGTTTAGTGCGTGTACCTCGTAAACGAAGGAGCAAAGGGTATGATATATTGGCAAGCAGGTGTCCTTCAAGAGTATGGAATCTTACGAATGAAACCCCATTTGACACTTCTCTACAGCCCGCTCCGTGGTCACATCCCACAATATAACAGTCCCATCGATAGACGTCCCCACTAACCAACGCCCGCTTGGGTCGCCCAAGAATGAGATGTTTGGAATGTTATGACCGTGACCAATGAGTGTCTTAACAGTTCTATCCTTCAATGGGGACCTTTTCCTACGCCTGCGTTTACAGCATGCACATATAGAATCATCCTCCGATACATCACTATCATCCGGGGATCGAGACTCTACTCGTCTCCTCCGGCGACGTTTCCGATCTCCATTGTGCGACCTTCCGCAGTCTTCATCCCCGAGTACTGATTCCTCTTCTCCTTCCATATATTCGTCCTCATCGTCCCTTTCTCCTTCCTCGAGATTCCGGCCAATTGCCAATTCAAATACTGAGATTTGATGTGTGTTCGCGCTCACTGCTAAGAGTCGCCTCTCCTTGTGCAACGCAACGCCCCATGCACTCTGGCCGACACTCAACCGGAACGCGATCCTTCGTAGGTCGCGAGTATACCACGCACAGACATCTCCATCGTCATGAGCACTGACTAGAACCTCTTCAAAACCGAGCTCGCCAACGGTGAGAGAGTTGATGGCGTGTGGGTCTTGGGGGTCGATGAACCCCGCGGCAGTCGGCGAGGCCGCGGAGGTGAGGGTTGTGTAGGGTGTTGTCGTCGGAATGGTCTGATATGGATATTTTGGTGCATAAACACGGATTGTGGAACGCACTGCTATGAAAAGATAGTTATGGCGTTTGGATGCTGCAACCTAAATATGGGCGGGAAAATATTTCTTAGTTATAAAATTTGGTGAAGTTTGGGAGGGGAGGGAATTTACCACATTGTTGCGCCAGTAAGAAACGTCATCGAGCTCACTTTTTGTGGCGCCATGGTCAGTTTATCACACAATTGCTTATGTATGGGCGAGATTGGAATGCTTACATCTATGGAACGGATACATCATGTTAGTACCTGTGCTTTCTCTTGCAGAAATCTGGGAATTCGTGAATACAAAGTGGAAAGAGAGAGGCAGAAATACCTTCTGTTCCCCAAGAAACGAAACGTCGACCGGCTTGTATGGTTGTAAATTCTTATTTGCCATGATTTATTTGCTCCGCGGCCGGCAGAATCGCATAACAGATAACAGAATGTACCTTCTCTGGGGGAACCGGTTTATCCAGGAGCGAGTAGAGAAAGCTCCGAGACAAGCAAGACACACAGGGACAGAGTAGATAAAGATGCAGGTGCGATTATAATATAAGTACAAAGCGATCCTCCCGGATGGTTATGGGGTTAGCAGGAGTGGAGAAGACTAGGCGGATAGATATTTGGGTAGAGGGAAAGAGGAGTGAGCACAGGCAGACAGAGAGGTAGGGCCAAGCAGGGAGATAGGCTTCACAATGAGAAACCCTGTAAAAAAAAGTGAGGACCAACAGCTTTCTAGATCGAGATACAGGGAAGGTGAGGGGAGCTAGTGAGGTAGAGTAATGCTGGTTGATGATGGTGGGGGAATAACACATCAAATGCGTTCAAGTGGTTATAGCATTAATAAGGTTTAGGGTTCAATTTAGCCTCACAAGAGAACGGCGATAATTGCGAGAACGGAAAGTGATATCAATTGGCGATTGGGGAGAAGAGGTGGTCAGGTGCCCTTTCCGCATCAGACAATGTCCAATACGGCAGAACGGGTAACTAGGGGTGAAATCTGAGCTCGCAACGGCTCCCGTTTGTAGCTACTGATCTATGATGGTATGTGCATAATGTCCTAAGTTGTAGGTAGAAAATATATGCGGTTGTCCGTCTGTGTAATTCAATAAAGTGGAGACGTTGCTCAGAGTTAGAATTAGGTTGCTACATGGCATACATGCCCATGTACTTGTATCTAACTACTTATTCTGCTGTTTCATGTGCCTCTTGTATCAGTTCAGTGGCGCCCACCAGTTGCTATCTTCGCCATTTATGTAATAGATTAATGCTAGGGTACATATACATGCGTGCGTGGAAGATTCACTCATAAAAACAGACTCGCGGTAATCCGATTTGCTGCGTCTACATATATCGTTACGGTCTTCGATTCACGAACCAAGATCGAAGTCAATGAAGTCGGTACATGTAGTTTCGAGCCAAGTTTTTACATCGCCACATGCACATATGTACCTACATGATTTCGATATTACATGTAGTATTTACATACTGCAAAAGTACCTATGGTAGTTCCACTTCCACGGCGGCCGGGTTCCGCTGGAGATAACTACTGCAGTACGTCGTCTAGGTACGAAATTTAGAGGGTTTCTCTCCTCCGAACGTTGGAAGCTTTGTAAGGATGGAATTTTGCTAGGGTGGGATTATGACTCTGTATGTACTAAGGCGTTAATTCAGTAAAAGGTCGTGGGGGCAGGCATTGCAACGGGGCGATTTTTCACGACCTTTTACTGAACGCCTAAGAACATGTACCTACATATATTGGCCAGTCTCGATGCCACACACGGCTACATACAGAAGCTGGTTACCCGGAGGGTTTCTCAACGACTGACGTCGCCCTGCATATGGCATTGCAATTGAGTGCTAACACACTTTAGAGCTAATTAGCCGCTCTCAGCGCAACACTAGTACTCCAGGCAAACTTCGACATCCGCACGTAATATGTTGAAGCAGGTATCTAAACGTATATTCGTATGGCTATTCAGATAGTAACCATCACATGGGTCGGTTTTGTTAATAGGCCCTTATGGCTAATTAATCATACGTAGCTAGGTCTAGCTAGTAGTTTCGATATAATCACGCATCATGCAATTGCGTAAGGCGCCAGTGCGCCTCCGTCATGAGAATTGACAACCGTGGATAATTAATTCCAATCGGATCATGAGTTATTCCTGATTACAGACCTGACGGTATGACATTCAACCAAGAGTATGCCAGTTAGACTGCGTGTTGCTACCTAGCTAGATACAGTATCTGTCGCATCTCTCTTCTAATTTTTGGTTATTTGATTATTTAGTCTTTGTATCCCGATCCCGGTACAGTACCTTCATCTTAGTTCAGCTTTCACAGCTGATATAAAATTCGTCTTCAGCTACATCGCGCCCTGTATGGAGAACGGCTGGTAATTAAGATTTCCGTAGGTTTGCATGTAGAGTACATATGTATATGTGCGCATGAAGAGCCGGTGTCCTGCAGCACATGTAGAGTAGTCTACTGTAGGCATGCAGAGTACCTATGTAACTAGTACCTACGTACACTAGAGTGCGTCCTCTCCACGTTTTCTAGCAGGTAAGCACTGGATTAGAAGTCATGGCCGCATATACTTAATTGTAATCGATTATTAATCTAGGCAGCATGCACCCTGCAGAATTTTATGGATAAGCATGTAGAGTACCTATCAAATCTTTCATTTTGTCATGCAGCAGCTATACATAAATCCCGACCCAAGCATTTTGGGTCACAGAATTTCTGAAACCAAACGCTCCTAAGGGGAACCAAGCGATTAATATTGAACCCCGGAAACGTGGACTGGAAGAACATTTGGTCCTGATTGGAGTTCTCGATAGTCAGCCACGAATTGAGAACAATGAATGTTGAGGCTGATTTATGCACTTCTCTCTCGCTGTGCAAAAAACAAACCTTATCACATGCTTCCTGCTAGTATGTACCACACTCTTCAATAATCAAAAAGGTCTTCTTTTGTAAGTGTCAAATCTTCTTTCAGACTCGCTAATATAATCCCAACACTTTAGCCATTCATCCATACCATCCTCTATATGCCCTTCCAATCCCAGAACATCTCAACGCACAAAGCACTAATGCCACCGCCATATTTGACCCCGTGAAAATACAGACACACTCATATCTGCAGATCGGACCAATCTATTAGTATCGTGATCGGCTGTCGTTTGGTCGGAAGGATGGATTAATGTTATCGGCGCGGTAAACGACATACTGGAGTATCATTGCGATAGTAGCTAGTAGTATATTAAAATCAAAGTTTCATCCGTGAACTGTGATATGGTGGGTATATGTATCAGCACAAAGTTGATAGCTGGACAACATCAATGGCTTGAAAGGAATGTGAATGGAATTTGTTACCGGGTCCTAAATGTTTGCAGGTATGCTTAATTTCCCTTACATGAGGCATCATTCGATTTGTTCCGCGGGAGTAAAAGCGTCATTGTACTAGGAAATTATTTGGAAAGAAACCGAGAGGGAATTGTGGATCGATGATCGAAACTTGCAGTCTATAAAAGTTAGTACCCCGCGAACTGCGGATAACGTTCCAATTAGTGGGGGGTTCAAGATCCAGGGGCGAAAGCTCAGTTACCGATATCAATTTCATGAACTAGCCCCCAATGACTTATAGACACCCAAATATGTTCTCGATCGATCGACCCAGTGTCATCGTATTAATTGAATTCCTCTATTTTCATTACGGTCTGCATCCGCAATTCTTGCCACAAAATCTCGGCCCGTGAAATTCTTCAGTTTCATCGTGGGCCTAAAAAGCTATATACTGGCGAGGGTACACATTTTTTCAGCTGGAAGATGGATATATGCTTCAGTTGGTAGGTAGGAGAGAAACCTTCGGAGGGCTAGCTAGGTTCAAGTCTAAAAACAGCACGAATATATCTTCGTTTGCATACATGCACGTATACCATGCATAATATCGTTTTATAATTTGTTCTGTGTATGTACTTATCATCAAAAAGAATCACTCGACTAGTTGATCCAATTTACATTTAGGTGCCTCTTAATTGACCCCGTCTAAACTTGACGGAATTGGGTTGTGGATCTGAATTGTGACAATTGTAGGATAGACTTTACATGGCCGGAGTCCATGCATGAATATTATGTATTATCTAGCTAAGCTACAAGATTGAAAGGTTGTTCAGTAGGTTAGTACTGAGTACATTGTCGTATATATAGGCAGGCTAGGCCAGGCCACTTATATAGTATTCTCTAATCTACAATCTCCAGACGGGGATTCTATCTTGTTATGTAGCTGTACTTACTCCATTTGTGAAGGCATCCGTTTAGAGTATGGTACCTACATGTAGGTGATATGCACGCCAAGACAGCCCAGAAAAGCATTAAAACCACAAGCTTTTGGTAGCCCCACACGTGTGGTCTTTCAATGCTTCAATGACGGACCAGCTTCAGCAACCACAGCAGCCTGACGCAAGGCCGGAAACTCGCGTCTGGCTCATCAGCTCTGCGTTTGGCTCCCTTGGCTATGCGGTTGCCCAGGAGGCACTGAAACTAGGCGACTACGTTGTTGCTGGGTGTAAGCGTGAGGAGATTGAACTCGAGCGACGCACCAGTACAGCTCAAAACGACGGGTCCAGGGAAGATTCTGAGGATGAAAGTCGCAGTATACAGTATTTGAAGAGGATTGGGGGCGACTCGTGCATTATTGTGGAATTGGATACCCGGTACTTCCAAGTTATCCGCCTTTAGACTGACCTTCCTCGTTTCTTATCATCGGGACCTTAGGAACATATCATTATGCCAATCTGCCCTTGCTGAAGCGATCAATGTATGGGGTCGCATCGATGTGATCCTCAACTGCGACTCTAAAAGTGACGGCCCTCTATGATACCGCATACCATAGAGGTGCTAGCTAACATAATGATATCCGGATTTTCTACGCAGCTTACGCAGGCACTCTAGAAGAGCTTAACCCTACGCACATCCTCGACCAGTTTGAGTCCAACTTTTTCGGCCCGATTAATATGATGAAATCGGCATTGCCATTCCTGAGGAAACAACGTGGCGGACACATCGTGAATGTTACCGGATTGACTGGTCACATGGGGACTCCTGGATTGTCGGCTAGATGTGCCAGTGATCATGCATTAGAGGGGTTTACTGATGTCAGCTGTGCACCTTTTTTCTCACCCTTAGTATTTATCGGCTCTAATAAGTTGGTAATAGGCGTTGGCGTATGAGATTGCGCCCTTCAACATCAAAGTCAGCATAGTGCAACCGCCATTAGAAGTGAAGTAAGTACTCTTCCAGAGTGTTTAATACTCCTGCACGCCTCAATTAACCTCAATATTAGTGTTCTTCTATCACCTCTCCACCTACAACCTTCATCACAGCAAGCATACAATGACCCAACACACCCCTTCAGGAATATGGCCAATATTCTCTCCTTACCCCCACCCCCAGAACATATAATGTCGGAAACAGTATCGATAATTTTGCATATTGCGGCGCTGGAGAACCCACCGGGTAGGATTGTGGTTGGGAATGAGGGTATAGAACAGGTAAAGGACAGAGTAAAGACAGTATCGGAAGAACTAGAAGAATTTTTAGAGGCGAGTTTGGGGGCGGATATACCTAAGGAGTGATATACCATCGGATTAGAGCGGTAGACACTTATGAATATTATCGCGTTTGAATTACGGGGTCATTTGGGGAGGAAGTCTGGAGCTATGAAGGTGGTTCTTATTATATATCTTTGATGCTGCATAGCCTCAACTCAACCTCGAGGTTGCGGAGGTGCCAGGGTACGCAACTGGAATACTTTCAGCTGCAGAGTAGAAAATTAGCGGAGACTATGTACATGTATTTGCACTTCTAGTGTAGCTGCTAGCTGGCCTATCGCTGATGGGAAGTCGGATTTCAAATTCTTATCTCAATCTGAATTCTTTTTTTCCGTACACAGTTTCTTTGTAAATAGTACTAAGTTCAAGACGCGATATCAGTACTTGTACGTCCTTGTACTTGTGTATGTATGTTGCCGTTATTCAAATCCTTGCGTCAGCAGATTATGCATCAATCTGCACCAAACGGGCCGCTGCCGTTCTATTTTGGCGAATTGTCACCGTATCTGAGCACGGACCACGCCGCTTTGAAGCGGAGATTTATCCTTCTGGAATCCGAGCACTCGTGACCTTGAAAGTGGCTTCGCCTGCGCCTAATTGCACCAAAAGGATCACCAGCTAGACTCTTTTTATCCCCGGAACTGGGCTAAATGATCACGAGTGATGTTTCATGTCAAGAGCCACCAAGCTGGCTGCCAAGACCACCTGTATCAGAGACATTCTATTGGACCAAGAGCTACCACGAGGTACAAGTTCTGGTTCTTTGGAGTTGTCCTTTTCTTATCACGATACGTAATTGCTCGGGTCCGGAGTCGAAGTTGGCCTTTGTACCTCGCTCTTATATTACGCCAGTCTTGCTTTTTTGAACAGTGTATTTACTCCGACCTCAATCGGCCCCCTTTCTAACCCACAAACAACCCCTTTCTTGTCTAAGGATACAAGTCTCTTTAATTAAAAAATGCCGTCGATGACTGTGAGTACCGGGGAACCGGAATTGATTTCGGGTCAACAAACGTCAATGGGTTGTGTAGTTCACAGGTTTGATAGCATGTGTATCGGGAGGTTCGGTGCAGGGATTGTGGAGGACATCATCAAGTTCGTTATCCCCCAGATCAATAGTCGTACATCTTCCAGTAAGCTTACCAATTGGAATAGACCAGGAGTAATAGACAATCGACAGGTTGTTGTGTGTTCTGCGATGAAGATTGGGGGTGGCGCGGACAGAAACATGACTCGCCAGTACGGATACACTGAATCTATGTAGTCTATGACCAGGAGCTAACCATACACTGATCCAGGTTAAAATCCGCGGTCGAAGCTTCGTTAACTCACCAGTCCGAAGAGTACTTAGCACTATTTGAGACTATCGAAGAAGACCATATCCGGATGGCCAGCGAATTGATAAACTCGGTGGAGAGGTTAGAACATCTCAAGGAAGAGATCATAGACGAATGTAACCTGGTTACAAGATTGATAGGGGCTTCGCAGGTTGGGGACCAGGATCTTAGCTCTCTGAAAGTCTAATTGACGCCTATTATTACTGCAGATACTTGGCCAGATGAATCCTAGGGCAAAGGATATGATCCTTGGCGTCAGGGACCGATTAAGCTGCATATTGATGACCTCGATTCTGCAAGACCGAGTTAGTAGAGCCGTACAGGGTTTCGTGGAAACCTAGGCTGATTCAAGTGATATAGGGCATTTACTGCGAGTACATCAACCCGGAGGGGATTGTCAACAGTTCATACCCCGGGAAAAACGTACTAGATCAGAAGCTTTGTGATTTTGTTAGCGAGGAATTAACAAAGCAAGTACAAGAATGCGAGCATAAAACCATTGTGGTTACTGGTCAGTTTTCTCAAGATTTACACGCATGGGAATGAATAGTTGTCTGATGAAACCAGGGTACTTTGGTAATATACAAGGCGTATCCGCTGGAAGGGACTATGGCGACCTTGCTGCAGCAATGTTGGCAGTTGGATTAGGGGCAAATGAATTGAAAATATGGAAAGAGGTGGACGGGATTTTCACAGCCGATCCAAAAATATGCTCGACTGCTCAATTGATACCTGTCGTAACGTCAGACGAAGCCGCAGAGATGTTGCAGTATGGGATACAGGTTGACCACTTTCCTTGTGAATTAATCAAGTCCCAAGTATAGGAAAACTAAAAAAGAGGCAATGCTAGATGATACACCCATTTGCGATGGAATTGGTTGCTAAGGCCAGCATTCCAATCAACTTCAGGAATATTCACAACCTAAAGGGCAATGGAACTGTCGTTTCCGACGATGTCGCTGCCAGTTTTGGGAATCAGCTTCAAAAAGGTTTCCCAAAAGCACCGACAGCTATCACCATCAAGACCGGCATTGCTGTACTTAGCATCAACTCAAAGAAAAGGCACATATCATGTGGATTTTTCGCCGCTGTGTTCTCAACTTTGAACAAACACGGCCTCATGGTAGACCTTATTTCCACCTCAGAAACACATGTCTCGGTGGCTCTGGGTCCAAAGTTTACCGAAGACCGTTTGAGGGAGGCAATCAAAGAGCTCAAGCAACACGGTAGTGTCGAATTAACCAGGCACCTTGCGATTGTCTCCTTAATTGGCAGACAGATGAAGCGTCTCGTTGGCGTTGCTAGTTGCATGTTTTCCACGTTGGCAAAGGAGGGTGTGAATGTTGAGATGATTTCACAGGGTAAGTGAAATGATTGATTTGCTTTTTCCAATGATCTGAAAAAAAAGATTAACGTGTTCCCTCGTAATAGGAGCAAGCGAAATCAATATTTCCTGCGTGATCAAGTTGGAAGACGCTGTTCGTGCGATGAGCGTCTTACATACTAAGTTATTCTTGCATAAGATGGATTTCGGGCCAAGTGCAAGTCAGAAAAGCGCTATCAACTACGATTCTTAGTCATTTGTGATTGGCAATTGGTTTGGGTGTTTTATTGGGTAGTTTTTAATCGTGGCTATATCTTGCCTTTAACTAAGTAGTTGTTTAGTAATTGCCTCTGTTTTGTAACAGCTAGCTGTCATTTAGAGTAGTTCGGCGTACATAATTATATTAAACTATACATGCGCCTGATGCGAGGATGGCCGGTTGAGGGATGGTAATGATTTATTTACCAACTTTAGATAAGAAGCACAATACTACATGTACATGTATTAGTAGCTTAGGCTCTGTTCGGACGGACGTCAATACCATGGTATCCCCGAATAGGAAGGTGTGTAAGTCAGTGTAGTATTTGAGTGTTCGGATAGCCCAAATTATTGGTTTTGATACCATGGTTTTAACAAATACCTCTGGAGGTATTTATTTCCCGTTGTCTCGTATCGTCATGCCTCTACTCTACCCAACACTTTTGTCTTTGGTTTTATCCCAGAGAATGATACCAGGCAACCGAATTTACCACAGTATTGAATACCACGTCCGCAGTACTCGGGCGTTCATTAAATGGTCGGATATCGTTGCAACCAAATCCCTACCCATTTGATGAACGCATGAGTAGAAATATTGAAGTCGACTCTAGATTTTACTCTAATTTCGCAATATATAGGCGGATATTTCTACCATGTCTCTGTATGTATATGATGGGACAATACAAATACAAGATATGGGCTGGTTAGCATGATCGAGAAGCGTAACATGAGGGGATTATCCAATCATTAAAAACCACTCTACAGCTTAAACACCTCCACATTACCGCCCTTCCTCCTCAGAACCGACCCAACCATACCGCCCACGGGGCCCTGCTCCTCCCTCCCGTCCCTAAAACCCTTCGGCCCCGCAATCCAGCCAATAAACCCCTCAGGCCCGGACACAAACACCCTCGCCCCACCCCCTACCGCCGCCTCCACATCCCTTACCCCAATCCCCCCCTCCCCATCCACAAACACCCTCACCACCAGCCGCCCCACCCCCTCCGGATCCACCCGCCCCGCCAGCCGCGCAACCTCATCCGCCATCGCCCCACCCGTCTCCTCACGCCGCCGCACAGCCCACAGTATCTCCGCCCTCCCTTTGCCCTTCCCGCCCTCACCACCAAGCAGACTCGACGCAACCTGCAGCGCAGGCGCAATCCCGGTGCCCCCAGCAAAGAAAACGATCTTCCGCTCGCCGCTCAGGTCGCTGGGCGTGTAGACATAGTCCACCTGCGGCCCGCGCAGCTCGACCGCGGCGCCCTCGGGGAGGCTGTACAGGTAGCGCGACATCTCGCCGCCGGGCTCCCGCTTGATGAGGAGTCTGATGGTGCCGTCGTCCTTCTCGGGTGGTGGTGGCAGCGGGGTGTAGGGGCGCGCGATTTGCAGCTGGGGCTGCTTTATCTGCAGGGAGAGGATTCCGGTTGTGAATGGGAGCGGTGGGGACGGGGAGGTGGGCGTGAGGGTGAAGATGCTGGTGGGGGTGGGGCCGGCGGAGATGGGGGTCTTGGTGGTGAGGGTGTAGGGGGTGAAGGTGTGGGGGTTGAGCGTGGAGGTGGGGGTGCGGGTGGTGGTGTAGGTGTAGGTGCCGGCGGCGAGGGTGGTGAGGGTTGCGGCGGCGGCAGCGAGGGCGAGGTTTTTGCTGCGGCGGGGCGGCGGTGGTGGTGTGGTGCTGTAGGGGGATGCTTGGAGTGGGCGGAGGCGCAGAGGGCGGGTGTGGCGGAGGGTGTGGCGGAGGGTGCGTGGGAGGAGAAGGGACATTGCGTAGGTTCGAAACGCTGGAATGACAGGAGGGGTTGAGCGGATCTAGATGGCTGTTTTGTGGATTTTCGTCAGATATCGACCAGGCATGGGAATTAAATTAAAGCATTGAGGCTCAACACTTCTGGCCGGGATCTCGCGCTTGGCGACGCTGTGTAACCATGGGGGTTAGCTCTGTCTTGAGCCTCAACGCTCAAGTGCAAAGTGCAAGCTTGGTGCCAATATACTGCTATTACGTGGATTATCTCTACACCCGCACCTAAATACAGCCTACTACCAACTGATATAATACTCAAACACAATGCGCTTCAAAACAGACATCTCGAACATCACGACCTTCACAAGTCAGTCAAATACTCCAATCAATATATATGCTTGCTTAGCTACCGACTTGGCTAGCTCTAGATCTCTACTGACACTCAATTCCAGAGCTCGTATCATGCCTGAACTCGACATCCAAAGTCGCATGGCTCAAGCTTGACGAAGAGCAGGTCCACTTCACGCTGATGGAAGAAGCCACAGTCAAAGTCTTTGCGTACGCCCCTCCACCCCCCCCCCCCCCCCAACCTCCAAAATTAAAAGCCATCCGCTAACTACCCCCCCCCCCCCCCCCGCAGAACAATCTCCAAAGTATCTCTCCCCCTCCCCCCATTCCTCCTTCCCCAATAACCACAAACCACTAACCCCAGCAGGAAACCCTCTTCAGCACCTACCGCATCGCCTCCGCCTCCTCCAACACCATCAACCTCGAAGTGCCCCTCCCCATCCTCCTGCGCGCCCTCCGCTCCTGCGCCTCCTCCCCCGCCGCCACCCTGCGCCTGACCAAGCGCGCCGCCGACAACGTGCCCATCCTCTGCATCACCGTCAGCACCTCGTCGTCGTCGTCCACGCTCGTCACGCAGGAGATCCCCGTGCGCGTGCTGGCGCCGGCGGCCGTCGCGGGGCTGGGCGAGCCGGAGGTGCCGCCGCCGCAGGTGAGCGTTGTGCTGCCGGGGCTGGCGGCGGTGCGCGGCGTGGTGGAGAGGATGAATAGGTTGGATGTGAGGAGGGTGCGGTTGGAGGCGAGGCGGGTGGGCGCGGAGAGGGAGTTCCGGATGGGCGTGGAGGGGGAGGAGGTGAAGGTGGAGAGTGTGTGGAGGGGGCTGGGGACGGGGTTGGGGGTGGAGGAGGAGGAGGAGGAGGAGATGGAGGAGGGGGAGGGGTGGGCGGGGGTCACGGTGAATGGGAGGGAGTGGGCGAAGGTGTTGAAGTGTGTGGGGTTGGCGAAGAGTGTGGTTGCTTGTGAGTCTCTTTCGTTTTTTTTTTGAGTGTTTTTTTTTTTTTTGAGTTTGTTGCTGGTGGGATGTGGGCTGATGGTGAAAGTCTTTGTGAATGACTTTGCACTCGTCGTGTATGTCTACCTCACCGAGAACGAGAGCGACGCCGTGATCACGGTACGTACCCCCCCATTCGTGATCCCCAACTCCTACTTCTGCCATGACAGCACTGATAGGCCGCGGCAGTACTACATGAGCTCCCTCAGCGACTAAGCATTTTCATGTAGCATTATCACCAGTAGTAGTAGTAGTAGTAGTAGTAGTAGTAGTAGTAGTAGTAGTAGTAGTAGTAGTAGTAGTAGTAGTAATAACCAACCCAAAAGGAATAGTCTGGAACCCGTGACAGTAATGGTAATAACTAACTTGACCAGCAATATATACAGCAGCAATTAAAAAACAGTAACAACCCCAAAACGGCAGCGCAGCAGGACCCACTCATCCCACCGCGGCCAATGATAGACGTGGCACGTAGAGGTAAATAAAGCAGGTGAGACATTAATTATTGTCGTGGGCTATCAGTTACGTACGCCTGCCTAATTAAGGATACTACGAAGCATCTGGGTTGTTGGCCAGGCTAGCGTATGCAATAGTACATGTACTCTAGTACATGTAGTGTAGTCTTGGGTGTACTCTAGTCGGCTGGTTCACATGTGCAGATGTCTCACCCTCGGCTGGGAAACGGCGCTAGTATTGTAAATACTCATATTCTGGGTGTGGTTGTGGGTGGGGGTTCATAGAGTGTCACTCGGTTGGTATTGGTTTTGTGCGTGGTATATATGGCAGGATGGGAGAGGGAGGGGGAGGGGGAGGGGAAGGGGGGGGGTGTGTAGGGTGGGTGTTGGTATGGAATTTTTGTATGGATTTTTTTGATATTGGTATGGATACTTATATGGATATATTTATCTATTTACAGCCTCCACGCACCGTCCCCACCGGACCACCACACCACCATAAAAACAGAAAAGAAAAAAAAAAAAGAAAAGGCCCAACAACTACTCTATAACCACCAGCCCAATCCCAAGCCCAACTAAGCCCACCCCTCCTCCTCCTCCTCCCACTCCCCCACCCCCACCTCCCTCCCAAAAAAGTCCCTCTCCCCCCACCCCCCACCCACCTCCCCGCCCCCCGCGCCAGCCCCAACCCCCATCTCCCTCGGATACCGCCTCACGCAATAAAACCTCGCCAGCGCGCGCACCGCCATCTCCACCGGCATACTCTCCTCGACCTCGCCATCCACATCCCCGCCCGCCAGCCAGTCATCCCGCAGCTCCGGCCGGCAGTGCAAATAGATGTTGGTGATGACGCGCATATTGCTCTGCCGCCACTTGCGCCCGCAGTAGGGCACCTGGCCCTTGAACAGCTTGAGCGTGTACAGGCGCAGCAGCGGATGCGCGCACTTGAGCGGCTTGCGCAGGATGGCGGAGGACTTGTACTGCACGAGGGAGAGGTTGCGGTGCGACTTGTGCTTGACGGTTTTCTGCAGCGTGCGCAGGAGCGTGATGGAGGTGAAGAAGGGCCGCCAGGCGAAGAGGTTCGTGGGGTCGGGCGCGGTGGTGGGCGGCGGGGGCAGCGGCGAGTGCGGGAATTTGGGGATGGGTGGGGGGCAGGCGGAGTCCGGGGAGGAGTCGGGGGTGCGCAGGGTGGGTGGGTGGGTGGCGGGCGGGGGCGTGGGGGAGGTGGAGTGCAGGTTGCAGAGCGTCCAGTAGGACTTTTCGGGGCGGTCGGTGCGTGTGGTGACCATGACGACGGTGTCGTGCTGGTTGAAGAGCTTGAGCACGAGGGGGAGGTAGTTGGAGTCCAGCAGCAGCTGCGTTAGGTACTCGAACTTCAGCACATCTGTTGTCACCGTCAGTCTCCGTATTGCTTCATGGGTGCTCACTCGGCTCGTTTCTTGTACTTACGGGAGACTCGAAACCATTTCAGCAGCCCCAGCAGGATGGCACTAACAGCCTTGCTCGTGATCTCGCGCATGCGCTGCGCGTCGCGCCGCTTCTCCTCGGCCTCCTTCTCCTCCTCCCACAGCTTGTGGTTGGCGTTGAGGTCTGGCTGGCCGTCCTCGCCGGCGGGTTTGGCGTTGGGGTTGGTGCTCGAGAACTTGTTTTGCTCCTGCGTGTTGCGGCCAAAGATGTTCCAGGAGCCCTTGATGCTGGCGCCAAAGTCCATTTTTTCATCTGGCGGGTATTGTCAGCGCTGGTGGATAACGGGGAGAATTAAAACGAAATGGAACAAACCTCTTCCGTTCTCCTGGTCCGCGAACGATATCTGTTGGCCCTGAGGCGGCAGCGACGGAGGCGGAGCCTGAAGTGGCGGGGCGGTGACGGAGGCCAATATGACTTTCAGCATCACAATCACTAGTGACTGCAGCTGCGGCAATGCTACTTTCTGTGCCTCCAGTTAGTCCTCAACACACAGAAACCGGACAAAAAAAAAGGAAAAAATCCCACTTACAAACAGCTCCTCCACCGCATCCAACCTCTTCTCCTCCCACCTCTTCTCCCTCCCTCCCTCCTCCTCATCCACCTTCACCCCCTTCTTCTCATCCAGATCCACATCCCAGCCCCTCTCATACCGCTCATACGCCTCCTTCTCATTCCACAGCTGCCGCATTGCCAGCGTGCTCCTCACGCGGCCCGCAAACAGCTCCCCGGCCTCCTTGATACTCGCCGGCACGCCCAGCTCGCACTCCTCCTTCCACCAGCAGCCGCCCGTGCCCCCGTCGCCATCGCCCGCAGGGTACAGGAACGGGAAATTATTGTTCGTCTGGTAGTTCTGCTTCTTCCCGCCCTTTCCGCCTCCCGGGGACGGCGGCGGCGACGGCGCAGGCGTCGCAATGTGCACCGCCTTCTCCAGGATCGAACCTGCGGTGGCCAGCGCATCCACACCCGTCGGCTCGGAGCGCGGCGGCGTGGCGGCGACAGTAGGCAGGAATGACGCGGAGCTCGATGACAGGTCGAAGGGGAATGCGCAGCGCGGGGGGTCGTAGACGGGGTATTTTGCGATGATGTCGTTGCGGAAGCTCTGGTAGTCGAGCGGGGAAGCGGTGATCTCCTTCTTGTCGATTTCGGGGGAGAGGCCTGCGGCGACGCGGGCGAAGCGCTTGACGGCCGGGAGGTGGTGCTCGGACGAGCCGAAGGTGAGGAGGAGGGTCTTCCAGGTGAGGCTGAGCAGCGCGTGCAGCGGGAAGGTGGTGGTGTCGTCGTCGGTCCAGCGGAGGCGGGAGAGCGTCACTGCGAGGAAGCCGAGGAGGCTCCCGGGGACGGGCAGGTCGGTGCATTCGCTGCGGAGACTCTCCTGCTCGGCGTCTTCGCCGGGATGCACGCCCGGCGCCGTGTCACGCCGCCTTGTAACCTCTATGAGGAAGTACAGCACGCTCAGGGCCACCCTGAGCTCCTTCCCGGCCTGCTCCCTCGCCGCCAGCTCCGCCTCGTCGAGCTTCCCCGTCGCAACAACCTTCTCCACAAACCCCCACTCCCGGCCGACACTCCCGCGGACGCAATTAAACACCCTCTCGACGACGCCCGCCGCCCTCACGAGCGTTACATTCTTCTTGATCCGCCACAGCTGCTCCTCTTCCCCGCCACGGATCTCTCCGAAGCAGCCCTGGACCACATAGAACAGCCCCTCCAGTCCCACGAGCCGCTGCTCCGCGTCCGCGCTCTCCAGCAGGTCTGCACACCGCGCAATGAACCGCCGGCGCTTGACGTCCTTGCTGGTGTTCCATTTCGGCGGCGTCTTGGGGGGGGCGCTCTGGTGCGGCGGCTGCGAGAGCGTGGCGTACGTGCGCTCGAAGGTGTCGCGCGAGGAGAGGACCAGCGCGGTCGTGTCGGCGCTGTACGAGAACCACTCGGAGAGCTCGGCGGGCAGGCTGTCGGACGTGTCGTAGACGAAGGTGTAGTCGGGCTGCTTGAACTTGCCGGCGTCGACGACGACGCGGCGGAGCTGCTGGAGGCTGAGGGAGTCGGTGGGGTCTGGCTGTTGTTGTTGCTGCTGCTGCTGCTGTTGGGATGGCTGCGGGGGGGTGTCGCGCAGTTTGCTGGTGTCGAGGGAGAGGCGGGAGGTGAGGTCGGAGCTGCCGGGGTTGGGGGGGAGGGAGTTCATGGCGTAGGGTGGTGGGGGTTGTTGGGAGGTTGTGGCCACGGGTTTCATGGGGGGGGGGGGGGGGAGTGTAGGTGTAGCTGCAGATATGTAGATGGTCTGTCTGTGTCCGTGACTATCTCGAGTCCAGATGCAGAGCCGTTACTCCGTTATCAGGCAGGTATTGCAGATAGATGTCTGAGTGTTGACAGCTCTATAGATGGAGCAGAGAGGACGGACTCGGGCCAGAGCTAGCTCCAGATGACATGCGTGTGTGTGGGGTGAAGAAGACAGATTGAGAGCGAGTGAGTGGGTGAGACAGATTACGAGAGCACGGATAAGGGATACATGTAGTCATGAAGGGTTATCATCAGCACTGTATCCATAGCTGAAGAGAATAGCGATGTCAGACCAGCTGGTTATATATCGTCATGATCACGGCGAGAGAACTCTTCCTCGATCATCAGTAATTCAGTCATCTACATACATATTTTCCCCTTCGCCGCGCCTGTTACCCTCACGGACACCCTACCCTGGCTGGCTGCTGGCACTAGTTACAGGCTACTCTACAGGGCTCAACGGTTATCTCAATCAATCAACCAATCAATCAATCAATCAACCAACCAGTCCTCGATCACGGCCGGGTGCTCATTCTCGAACAAGCCCGCACACGCAACGCAACATGTCTTGCTGAGAGAAAAGTTGCGAGCCCCGTTACCCTCCCTGCTCGGGGTGGGGGTATATGGTAGCACAGACCATGCATCAGCCCTGCTGCCCGATGGTGACACAGGCACTGGCTATCACGGAAGTTAAGAGAGCGGATACTTTACTCTGGCTGCGACTCTACTTACATGTAAGTACTCGACATGTTACCCTACACACCTCGCTACAAGACTCGCTCGACCGCACAAGGCTCGGCGTCTGGGTTTTTTTCCACTTCCCGCCACACCGACCACTCACCACAATCACGATCATCTGATAAGCACCTCACCATGCACCGCCTCCGCCCCTTCGCCCGCCCCTTCGCCCGCCCCTTTGCCCGCCCCTTCGCCCGCCCCCTCCACACCACCCCACACCCCGCTGCCGCCCGCATATCCATCCCCACCACCACCACCACCACCACAGCCCCCACACCCACCCTCCAACAAAAGCTCCACTCCCCCCTCCCCATCACGCCCACCTGCCCACCCCCCACCTGCCCCTGCACCCCCACCCCCGACCTCCCCCCCGACCTCCCCATCGACACCGCCACCCCCCTCGCCGGCGCCCTCCCCCGCTACCACCGCCACCTCCTCATCTCCACCGCCCGCGCCCACTGGGCCCCCAAGATCGAACACGACCCCGCCCCCAACCTCGCCGCCGACCTCAAATCCGTCGCCGCAGCCCACAGCCTCCGCGACCCCTTCGCGCCAACACTCGTCACAAACTCGTCCTTCGCGAAAGACCCGACCGCCGGCGACGACGCAGACTCGGCATGGGTGCTGCCGGGGAACATCTACATCCCGCGCATCCCGCGCACCACGGACGCCGTCAAGGCGCTGCTGAAACAGTATCTGCTCCCTGGCGGCGATCCCGCTGCTGCTGCTGCGGCGGTGGCGGCGGCGGCGGCGTTCGAGGGCGCGCGGGTGGTGGATGAAGTGCTCGTGCTGATCTGCTCGCACATGTCGCGGGACGCGCGGTGCGGGATCCTTGCGCCGGCGCTGATGGCGCAGTTCCTTTCGGTGCTCCAGGCGCGAGGGCTGGCGGGGCGGGTGAGGGTGGGGTATACGAGCCATTTGAGCGGGCACAAGTGGGCGGGGAACGTTGTTGTTTACCTTCCGCCCGGGGAGGTGGCGGGGAGGGGGGGCCTGGGGGTGTGGTACGGGAGGGTGGGGACGGGGGAGGTGGAGGGGATTGTGGATGAGACGGTGGTGGGGGGGCGGGTGGTGGGGGAGTTGTGCAGAGGGGTTGTGGGCGGGGAGGTGGAGGGGGAGCGGGTTTGATGGGATAGAGGGCTTGAGGGGGAGTATAGATATTCCGTGAGGGTGTAGATGTTAGACGTCCATAGAAACTGGTGCAATGCCGTAGACTGTAGATTGCAGTTGAGGCTTTATAGAATCCATACCACTGAAGCCCAAGTATATTATGTAGAAAACTACCCCATTGATCATTGATCATTAACCCAAGATCAACTATAATACCCCCACACTCTCGCACCCACACACAAACATCACAGTCCATCACTCGCCCATCCACAGCTTCTGAGCCCCACCCCAATTAACACCGAGTAGAATATACGACCTCTACGCAGAACTAGCAAGCAAAACTCTACATGATAGTTGGACGAAGCTAACACTTTATGGTAACGAATGTCTCTAAGCATCTCTATGAGCTTTATGGTTGGAGTGATTACAGGACCGACATCACCAACTCAAGCTCCGCCCATAACAGGCAGGAACGATCTTTTCACAGCGAAAGGCGGGGATCAAAACATCAAACTAAGCACACGTACTCCAGTACCAAAGGCCACGCATTCATTGTCGCGCAACCTACAACTAACTACAGGTACACAAACACTCCCCAATCATAAGACTCATGGCCCATAAAACTCCGGATATAACCCCTCCTCCGCCCCCTCCCCCCACCTTCTATTAACCAAAAAATACGCTACACTACTTCCGCTTCTTCCCGCCCTTCGCCTTCTCGGCCCCTGTTGCGCCCCCCGAGCTAGAGGCCACAGCAACAGGCTCGGTCTCAGCCTTCAGGATCTCCTCGTCGAGCTTCTCCTTCGTCTTGTCGTCCACCTCGACGATCTCGTCGCCGCCCTGGCCAAACTCGTTGACGCGGCGGTAGTCGACGCGGTAGATCCAGGCCTGGTAGAGCGCGATGAAGTAGATGACGTCGTCGCGGAGGGTGGCGAGGCGGTGCAGTGTCGGCATTTTGATGGTGAAGGCGAAGAGGTCGTCGATGAACCTGTTTGGGGTGGTTAGCTTTTTCTTTTTTTTTTGGTTTAGAGTAGGGGACGAACGTGTTGAGGAGCTTGTAGACCATGGTCTTGCGCGGCATGTGTGCGACGCTCTTGAGGCGGTAGTTGATGTACAAGCTAGGCACCATCATGAGGAAGCCGTATGCGTAGACACTGCCCACGAGCGTCGTGATGATGAAGCTGTACCAGCTCTTGTGCGTATCGTACATAAGCGAGTACGCCGCATAAGCGGCCAGAAGCGGTACAGCGACCCAGTAGAGGTACTTGAACGCCTCCTCGTCGTACTCCTTCGTCTCCTTCTCGAGCGACGACAGTTTGTGCTTGTCCTCGAAGCGGATGCGGTATGGTATGATGGAGTCGACGGCCTGGATCTTGACGTCGACCATGCGCGTAATCTTCCACGCCTCGAGCACGATGCCCATGCCTTGGCCGAAGAGGATCATCCAGGAGGTGCCCTCGGAGTTGTCGAGCAGGTAGAGGAAGATGACGATCTGCATAAACACGTTGGCGAGGATTGTGCGCACGCTGATGCCGACGTTGTCTTTTTTGTTGCGCCAGTGGGAGATGTCGCTCTTGAAGGCGAGCATCTCGAAGACGGTGTGGAGGAGGGAAACGATGGCGGTGGTGCCGAGAAGGTAGATGTTGGTCTCGATGAGCACTCGCTTGAATTCCTCAAGCTCGGCACCAGTGTTGGCGCCGCCACCAAGGCCTGGCTGTGAAGCTTGTTGCTTGAAAGAGGCATCGAGGGAGGAGTAAATCTGGAATTTCCAGAAGGGTGTGGGGGCCAAGTTGATGTGCATTGGGAGAGATCTGAAAAATCATAATTAGTAAATAAGAAACAGCAAGATGCAAAACAAGGTACCTACTTGACGGTGCTGTTGATCTCAACCATGTGTTCTTTCAACAACCAAAAGTCGTTGATGTAGAAGATCGGATAATACCATCCATTTCTCCCAGTTTCGTCCCTGGCGCCAGTCGCTTCAAGAACCACATGCTGTCTCAATGGTGGCGGAAGCGTGTTATAACTCAAAACACCACCGTTGCTCACAACATCCAGTGTCAAGTTGGAGTGCCAGTAACTAGCAATGCTAGGACCAGCCTCGGGGACGGGAGGAAGCTCTTCGTCGGCTTCCTCCTCGTCATCGCCACGACCAATCAATTTCTTCGTCTTGACCACCTTCTTTTTCGGCGCATATCTAGTCAACAATTTAACAATTCGGAATGCCTTTGACGGGTCATATGCGGCATCGTAAGGGTCTGCGGCTGCGCCGGAACGAGAGACAAAGATATGCGCGAATAGCGAGCCATTGTTTTGGACCTGCTCGGAGAATGGGACATCGACGGTGACGCTTCGGGTATCTTGCGGATCATTGAGATGCCATTGCTTTTCGTTAAAAACGAGGGAGTTTTCCATTATGGGATCGGTGAAGGGTGGCAATGCGAGATGTTCATTGACGTAGATAGATACATCCATCGGCGCATCCGTTGGCCAAAGCGAGAAAGCTTTCTCGGGGACGTAGAGGTAGCTTGGATCATTCCGACCGACCGTATTCGCACCACCTTGATCGAACGTAGACGGAGGCGCGGTATTGACCTTTGCAGTTTGCTGGGGGGCGAAGTACTCTAATCACATTAGATACCAGTTATTAATGTAGAGATGGTGGAACCTACTGAACGCGCTCTGGACAGCTACAAATATGAGAATACCGTTGAGGGCAGATTTGAGTGTAGACTAGTAGGAGGCGCAAGTTAGAGTTGAAGCTCGTAATTTTGAGGGGAATGGGGATACTGACTTGAAAGCCGCCTTCTGCCTGGTCGCCAGCAGCTGCTGCTGCTTGTGGGGGAGCCATGTTTCCGATTAAAGTGATTGAGGTTTGGTGAAGACTTTTGCTTCTCGGGTCGGGACTCCGAGCATTAAGAGCTGGTTGCGGCTCTTTTTCATTGAGACGACGTCGCCGGATGGCAAATCTTGGCTTGGCTGATCCCAGATGTACGCAGAAATGATACATAATACACGCAGAAATGTTATCATTAGATTAGAAATAAATTAATTATAAATCTAACACTTCAGCTTCGAATCGATTATAGAATCTCCTAGATACTTCTATCCTTGGGGGTATTTAAATGCCAAGAATACTACCAAACTCTGAGCTATGCTTGGAGTGCGACGAGTGATCGTCTATGACTAAAATTAAAATTATTCGATCTCTAGCTAGCTTATATATATCATAGATATACTACACTAATGGCCGTAACTAGCTACATTTCACTTACAATATAGTTATACTCATTATGCAGAAGCCCTTCAAGTTTGAACATAATTCCAGTCCCTCATTGGGATCCAGCACACGGTTATAGGCCTCTTTCAACGCACCCCCAAAGAACCCGCCACTAGATGTACACAGGGCCTAGGGATAGTACTCGGACTTTATGGCCAATTATATAATTACCAAATCTTTGTACCTCAAGTGAATACACACAAGAAATCAACACCATAGACTAGCGGTTCTAACCTTGACGTTTGTCTGGCTTATCCAAATAGCGGCCAAAATTACACTCGACTAGCTTGGTAGATTCTGTTTGCCACAGATTTACAGTTTTTCCCGACCTGGTTTCCAGCAGGGGCGCCTCAGCAGCACACTCTTTCTAGTACCCTAGTTCTCGAGCCCATTTTTTTGAGCTGGTAATACGGCTCGTTCACCGCGGCTTTCCCCTTCTACTTTTTTAGGGACGGAGCCGGCCGGTGAAGCTACGGTTGGAGTTATGTATGGTGGGTTAGGGTTTATTCTTTTTGCAGGTAGTCTTTTTTCTTTATTTTTTGTATAGAGATGTAAATAGTTTCTTGTTCGATTTTATATATAGACAATAAATATTTTAGTCAAACTAACAAATACTAGTCTGAGCGCTGACTTAAAACTATCTCCAAAGATTGAAAATCAACATTTAGAACGGAGGCCGCGGGGGAACGACTCCCAACCCGGCCGACCATATCTTTGAAATAGAACATTACATACTCGATATATATGTCATTGTAGGATTTGTTCTATCGTCTGTAGTGGCTTATCAGTTTTGGTACGGGAGAGACAAGGATATAAAAAGGAACTTCTGTTGACTGCTTGACACAAACCGAGTGATAACTCATGACGTTAATTCATGACAACATGATATGGAACAGGAATGTCGTGATCAGCTTTGACCCTTCTTTCTTCTTTAAGAAACGCCTAAAGTTATGGTAGGTAGAGTAATAATTGCAACTTGAGGAGCGCTCTCGGATATTGTTGCTTAAGTAGCCACGATTCTGCCCACACATGCATATGAACCAGTTGGATAATCATATTGAGCAGGCTCATTATTATCTCAGGACCGGAACTCACAAGCAAATATTGGCTTCTATATCTATATTACACACATTGCACTTTATTTGCCTACACAGAATTTCTCAAACACAACACCCAGCACCTCTTCTACATCACCAGCGCCCTCGCCCCTCCCCGTAATTTTTGCCAGTGCCTCTGCAGCCATCCTCAATTCCTCTGCCGCAACAACCACATCCGTCTCTTCCTCAAGCTCCGCACTTGTATGAGCCAGGAATGAATCTAAAGACTCAATACACTCTTCCACCAGCAGACGCTGGCGCTCTGTTGCACCTATCGACTCATGCCAGTCATCTGACGAGGCCAAAGATGACGAGATTGGAGAAGTCATTTCCTTAAAGATGGCAATAAGGCCATTTAGGAATTCCTGGATCCCAGCTCCTGCTTCAGCGGTGCAGGAGATACCGAATACCCTACCGGGCGGTAAGCCAGGTATGGAAGTTGCAATTTTATCAAGGGCTTCATGGGGTAATGTGGCCCCGGGGAGGAGATCCATCTTATTGACGACGACAATGATCTCCTTGCCCGCTGCCTCGCGGACCACATCGCACACCTCCGGAGATATCTTGATCTGCGGGCCATCAGCGGTCTCTTCAACTGAGAGGACTACCACTACTAGGTCGCCCTCCATGACACGTTTCTTGGCTCTCTTAATGCCCTCCTTCTCGATCTCACCTACGCCCTCCGCCACATCGCCCACCCGTAGGCCCGCCGTGTCGCCCAGCACGACCATGAACCCGCCCAGGTCTACAGACAGGTCGACCACGTCCCTGGTGGTGCCCGCCTCTCCAGAGACAATGACCGCCTCCCTCCCCACAACCCGATTTAATAAGGAGCTCTTGCCCGCATTCGGCGCACCCACGAGCGCCAGACTGATGCCACTCCTGAGCATCTCTCCCTTCATCGCGTTGGCTACATGCCCCTTCAGCACACTCCGCAACCTCTCAACCGCCACAACGACATTCCTCAACAGCTCACTGGAGCTGGTCTCGAACTGCTGATCCTCCGAGAAGTCAATCAGCGCCTCCAACTCGCCCCTCGCAGCAATCAACGCAGCCCGCCATCCTTCATACCGCTGCGATAGCGCCGACGTTGAAGACCTCACAGACTGGATGCGCTGCTGCTCCGTCGCAGCAGAGAGTATGTCCCCCAGCGCCTCAATCTGCGGAAGCGTCAACCTCTCGTTCGCGAACGCCCTCCTCGTAAATTCGCCCGGCTCTGCATACACAATCCTATGTCTCGAGCGCGCCTGAGGAATTGCACCGAGAACAGCGCGGACGATCGCCGGCCCGCCGTGGAGGTGCAGCTCGAGTGTGTCTTCGCCCGTGACGGAGCGAGGGCCGGGGAAGTAGAGGACAATGCTCCCAGGGTCGAGGATCTCATTTGTATGGGGTTTGTAGAGGGTGCGCAGGGTTGCGCGGCGGGGTTTGGGGGGCAATGTGGAGGGGCAGAGCGAGGCGAAGATCTGCGGTCTCAGCGTCGTAATCGTGCGAGGTCGCAGGGTGGGAGGGGACGTACATCCATGCAGGCGGGCCCGGAAATCCGAACTACCGCGATTGCAGACTTTCCGGCCGCCGTGGAGAGCGCGAAGATGGTGCTGGGCGAGTCGTGGTGAGGGGCTGCTTCGTGAAGCGGTTTGGAGGGCCGCAAGGAGCTGGATGATCGTGTGCTTCTTCTGGAGGGTGCCAGAGGCCGTTGGGGGAGAAATCGCAGGGTGCCATGCCCGGTGGAACGCCTGCAGGCTGTCGCGCGCAGGGCATAAAGGGCTGGGCGCATACTCACGGACGATGATCCAGCTCGAGAGTATTGGGCGCCTTTGTTGAATAATCTTCAGTCGGGGGAGAGAGCTGTGGAATGGTTGAATTTTGGTGATCCGAGCTCGAGTAGGAAGGTTTGGTATTGGCCAAGACTTCTGGACTTGTGTTTTAGGGCCGAGTTCACGGTCCCAACTATTTGGAAATCCGCCAGGTGAAGGTGATGACTGATCATGCTTAAACCTTTTTACTGATATCCGCCCGCTTCATCTCATCTCATCTCATTTCCCGAGATCTGCATACCGCAAATCTTGGTCAATTGGGGCATATGATTGACCAGATCTTTCCATTGATAAAACTTGCTGTTACAAGCAGATGTGTCCATGATCCAATAATTATAAGACGGCAGTCGGGCCTGTCTAAATATGCGTTATACCTTGCTTGATACAGAGCTGGCCTTTGATAAACATGATACGTCGAATAGGTAGCAAGCAATCTTCCGAGAAAGCTAAATAAGTATCCAACCTGTAGGAACACTATATATATTATAGGTTACGATATAGGTAAAATTGGTGTAGAAAAGAGGGAACAATCTAGAAGTACCTAAACCTCTAGCTTTCTCAATCATACTCATTCAGTAGTCAGGCTCATTATTTACCAAAATGAGTACTAACGGTGGTGTATTGATTTGCCCGCTGCGAGTAAAACTGGACATGGGCATACATTAAAAAGTACATTATTACCAATTGTTTAGTCAAAGGTCGATATATCTGCCTACATACTTTTCACGGGCATCAAGAAGACCACAAGCGCGGTAAGCCTCAATCAAATAAACCTTCGAGCCCAGCGCGGCCGGAATACATACCTAGGTCCAGATGACATCAGACCACACAAACTATCTTCCTTCTTCTTCTTGACCTTTTGATTTTTTGATTTTTTCAGGTTTTAGAAATATTCTTTACCAAATGACGAAATACTTACACCACCGATCTTATTCTGAAACCTACGGTCCAGTACACTCCCACCCAGTACCCAGCCCCAAGGCATATCTGTTAATACGCATGCACGTACAGCCAATGGTTCCGAGTCTATCCACGCGAGCTACGATTAACCTGTTTATCTAAGGATCTATAGCTAGGAACAGCCTTGGAGAATGCATCACAGCCTACGTGCAAGGGATCCAAAAACGGCGTGCCATCAGGTGGAGAAACAAAAACCAACTACATACTTGTGCTTCGAAGTACTCTATTTCACACTACCGTTGGCATGACTAGTCTAGAGCATATGTAGTGTAAGTACCTACATACTGTAGGCAATTGCTTGTTTCTTTTGTTTTTTCACCATGTCCCGCATACGTCTAGAGACGAACAACGGAGCGAGTGACACAGAGAAACTGCGTGTGGAAAAATCTTCCGAGGATAGTTAGAAGAGGTGATTTTTTAGCGTAGTGGGCTGGTTTGAACTTTCTGCTGCACAAATGGCTACTTATCTGCAGCTGTTGTCACAGTTGCTGTGGCTCATGATCACGAGTGAGTTATCATGATGACCGTTGACGCTACCGCCATTTTGGCTGTCAATTGGCAGACCTGCTTTCATTTAGCTTGGCTATTTATTTTGATAATGCGTGAACATATTCTTTCACGGGAATCAACTTCTTATCCACCAGCTTATGTCTTAGAAGGACTTCAACAACGCGCGTGCATCACAAGCGAACCCGGCTCCGGCAAAACGCCCACAACCTGACTCAAGATGTGCACCCGCTACATAGGTAGTGCTTCAATGTGACGAGACCCGTTCCTGCATCTTGTTAAACGTCGAACGTTTCAAGAACCCCTAAGACACGTGGTGCAGGGATGGTTTTCGCGGGATTTAGGCTCTTTCTATGATGGGTGGGCGATCTGAGAGCTTGCGTTTTGGATAACTACATGTAATCAAGCGGAGCGGCTCGCTTGGTAGCTAGGGGGATACGACTGTAGGATGAACGAGCGGGTGAGCACATATGACTGAACATGTTGCCTGGATTGCTTGTTTCGCAGGTTTTTTCTTTGGCTTTTGTTTACTGCCACAATTTCAGAAACTAGGATGGGATTCAGACACCATAGGGACCTGTCCCAACAACCTGAACGGGCGTTGTGAATTCTTGGTTCTTGGATCCAGCGTGTTTGAGATGGATTTCCCTCTATATGTGTACTAGCCAGTATTTCTTTGACCGGAGCAACACAAGGTACTTTCGCGCGGCCTTCTTCTTTAGAGATTCGGGAATCGCGCTACATACCTTTCTTAATTAGCGGGCTATCATCCCCAGAGTTATCTGGATTGTATAAATATCTCTTGCTAATTAACACTAGATTCTCGTATCGTTCGAAAATATCCACGATCTTAGTGCTTAAGCTTATGTGCATGCAATCACAATATAGAGTGGAGTATATATCGCGAACTCGACTTACGGCACCGGGCGGATTATGGATGTATATTGCAGATTCCCTGTTCCTTGGCCGCGGAAGACTGGAATACACAAACTTCTTCTGGTGCCTCGTGGTAAGTCATGGTACCTTCCATAATTCTCCCTTAATATGCATATGCTACACTAGTGACGCCAATCTTGTCGTATTCTAGTTCTTATTCTGTCTCTGACTTTGGGGTCTTAGGGTAGTTACATGTTATCAGGCTGTTTAGTCGAACCAGAAGACGGGTCTCCCTTAATAAGTGTAGAGAGGTATGTAGTTGTGGAAGAGAAACCGACTAACGCAAGATTTTACATAACGATAGAAATATGGTGCCCCCAGTCTTAAAGGTAACATGATGAAGAAGAGTTTGTCTTTCCATATTTTTAATATCAATCGTGGTTGAAAAGTTATTCGAGACTTGGCGTTTTTCTCATGTTACCTTTAAGACTGGGGGAACCATACTGTAACCAGTTTTTCAGGTGCCCGAGGTGCCCGGTTTTGTTTTTCTCGTTATTATCGTTGCTTCTTCGGGTTGGGGGTGAAAACTGCTGTCTCCTTTACTTACTTAGTGCTAGGAGTTTATTTCCTCGCTTCCGCCGACCCGCCCTTCATGCGGACCCTTCCCGCGAAACCTAATCTCCAAGTGGAAACCGCGTTGAATCTTTATTTGGGCTCGGGAAAAAGCTGCACCGATGGTCCATCATCACATGTGCTAGATCCTGATACTCCACTAAGACTTCATGTGCGTAAGTGTGCTTGGACGTTAGTTCGGCGATCGTAAGGTTAGCCTGGAAGATAGCATACGAAGACTTTATACTCGCAGCAGGTAAAAAGTACCCGAAAATGCACGTCCTAATCTGCAATTTCCATTGGAGTAGAAGTCAAAAATACACCAAAAACTTGCAGCTGCATATTCGGGTACTTCATGCTTGTCGCGAGTACATATATATATATATAGGAATATTCTTATCCATACGGGGATAATGGCTTGATATATCGTTAATTGGCGTTGGAGTTAAATATTGGTTATTGTGGTATGGACTTGATAACCCTTCAACACCATTAATTCCTGTTACTTTGAATCTTTTATAAGTTCTACTCTAGCTAGGATTCCCAGTTTCTAGATGGGTTTTGTCGTCATTTATTGTTGCCAGGAGTCCGACCGAAGGGATGGGGTTACATAGCTGACACGCCTTGGCAGGGCAATATCGGACCCCTTTCGCCAAGAGAATAGCAACGGTTAAACTTTCAACTCATCCTCCTCTTCTTTTTTCTGATAATCCACCGGCCTCCTCATGGATTTTTGTTTCGCCGTAGATGCGCCACTGTACTTACTTACGTACTGGTCGTAGGAATGTAAGTGGGGTTGCAGAATGTAGTCATCGAAATGGCTGGATGGCTGGTATGCTGCCGGTACTCTACATGTACCCAAAGTACAGTTACGTGCATACTGCAAAGACAACCCAGGCTTTATTATAACACCATAAACAATTGTCGTTTATTAGTTTACTATATCCATCTGCTTACATGTATTTTCTGATCCTATCTACTCTAGCACTTGCATGCACATAGCCCTCTGCCCGCAGAGAGAGCCCCTGCTCCTAATAAACAGTAGTCAATCTACACACCAGCTCCTTAATATAAGGCTCATATAGGTCGATAGTACCGCCACCAACCTCCCCCTGGCCTCGCCTGGGACCCAAGTGATGCCTTTGCAGTTTTGGTCGAGGTTCCCGCTTGTCAGTGCGACAATAACGCATGCAAGGTGTATGCAGTCCTGTTTCCGGCTGGCGGTCATCCAAAATCTTGGAGGCGACACTTGCTAGTAAAACCTAGTGCGTTCCCGCCGCAACTTACTCTACTTGTATATACCAACCTTTCTTCTTGACTTTTTTGTTTTGCAATTTTTTCGTTGCGTTCCTTCGTCAGTTTTGGGGTGCTTTTTCCGGCTCTTCAGCTGCTGTTGGTTGGTTAGGCCGCTGTGCGGTGGTTGGGAATTGATAGCAACAAATACAGTTCCTCTCCTTTGCTATTAGTACTCTATTCTTTCTATTGCCTGTCTTTTTTGTTTCCTGCTAGGGCAAAAAACGAAACTCAGTTGGACCACAATAACACGCCAAAAAAGCGACCACGGACCATCAGCAATATATCAACCTAGCGGGAGAGAAAAAAAGATTGCGTTCATGTTCTCGTCTGCTCAGGACCCCTAAAGACAGAGTCTTTACCCTTTTATTCTTACAAAATTCCTTTATATTTCACATCTTCCTTATTGTTATTTTTATTTTGGTCAAAATGGATTCAAGAGCCGACAAAGGACCTCCACCGGATGGCCCGATGCCGGGCGGCCCAAATATTGCCAGCTTGCAGGTGCGGATTATAATATTGGTGTTGACGGGGATCAACATTGTTTCTGCGGCCGCGATGGCGATGAGGATATTATTGGACGCCAGGAATGCATGCAGCCGGAGAAGGATGAGGTGCAGCGGTGATTCAGCAGAGATGGGGCGGATAAGGGTGCACAGGTCGAATACGATAGACCAAAGGGCTAGTGGGAATCGGAGTGAGTCATCGAAGACAAAGCTCGTGGGAGGAGGACAGGATGGGAGTTCGGAGGCATGGTGGAAAATGATTCCGGCATTCGATGTGTTCCCGCTGGTGCTGGCAACGACAATAGTTATCCAGGGAACCATGTTTGCGGTGGTAGAGGGGGAAGGGTTGAAGATGAGTCCGTTTCAAGGGAACTGCAGGTATCTTTCGGAGGTTGCTTGGGTTGGTGAGTTGCTTTCTTTCTCTTGATTAATTGGGATCAATTTTATGGTATTTTGATCATTGGCTGATGCGATTGAAGCCCTATGGATAACGCCTTACATCATCTTATCGTTTACCATTGAAACCGCTATCCGTGCTCTCTCCCAGCCCCGCTTCCAGCCTCGCTCGGGGAAATCTATCATATACTGCGTTTTATCTGCGCTCCTTCTCACGATACTGACATGGATACCTTCCCGGGTGATGCCTGAGGATTCTGCTCAAGACTTCTGCGATGGAGAACTGATGGCATTCGTTGACCAGTTTTCTGCAGGCGGGTTGGGTATCATGGTTGCGCTTTTGCCCATTGCAGTGTTTATGGGCGGGGTGGTGCTCATGCACTTGAGCAAAGATATTGCAATTGATAGAGAAGAGAAGATGGCTTCCAGCAGAACGGTTTATTTTATGCTGATCAACGTTTTGCAATGGGTATGATATGACAATTGTTAGGTGGAAATGAGATATTTGGGCTAATGATAGATAAACCAGATTATGATGGTACCAAACTATGTTTTGACTGCTCAGGACAGCCCCGAGTATTCCACATCTGCACTAGCAACCGTTATAGCCAATATTGGAGGAATAATCTCCTGCGGTCTTTACATCTATTTAAGGACCAGAAACATGCCCGCTGAGCTCGACGACGAACCAACACCGACAATAAGGCCACTAGAGAGGGCCCCTAGTCGACACCCAACAGCTTTAGAAAAAGAGTTGAGTATTGTAGTCAGCGAGCCCCACGACAACCGCGATGACCGCTCCATGAGTAGCCGCCCCGCACTTGCCTCGATCATCAGCGAATACTACGACATGCATACCATCTCTGAGATCCCACGTAGCCCCACCATAAGTACGCACTCAGAGCGGGAAACAACATCCATACTCCGGATGCCACCCAGCCCCACTAGCCAGTACTCCAAGGACCGCCGCTCCTCCCGCGCACCCTCTATATTCTCCCAGTACACCACGCACAGCTTTCGACGGCTCGGAGATGAAATCAACCACATGATAGCCGGGCTCCGAAACCAAACCACCCCATCCGCCGAGAACACCTCAGTGACACCTCCTCCACCAGCAAGCACCAGAAAACAGTCAACAACCTACACCATCTTCCCGCCCAACCCCGACCGCCCACCCACCGCCGCGTCTAGCACCGCATCGGTATCAAAGCTGCCAGTACCACGTACGCTGCTGCGGGCACCAACTAGACCCTCGCGAGCAGCGGTCCCGACGATAAATCTCGACCGGCGGCAGTCGAACTTCAAGCAAGAGCGGGCGCAGTCGTCGCAGTCGTCGTCGCATTCGGGGTCACTAAGGATACCCCCAAAAGCGAGAGTGGGGGCGCCGTTCGAGGTGGCGATACCACCGAGACCTGATAATGGCGATGCGGAGTCGTTTATGGAAATCTTGATATGGAAGAAGGAGACTGGCGCGGATCCGGACAATCGTGTGTAAAACTGGTTTAGACTTGGAATATATATTAATTCTTTTTCTTCCTCTTCTTTTTTTCTTCTTTTTTATTCTTTTTTTTCTTTCTGGGTTGTGGGCTGGGTGGTTTGTTATTATTAATTCTTTTCTTCTCTCTCTCTCTCTCTCTCTCTCTGTTATTGTCGGTCGAGGTGGCCTGGCCGCGCCTGCGGCTTTATCGGGATCGTCGGATTCTTCCCTGTCTGGAGATGTTGACGGACATCGATATATCGCTCTCTTTACTCCACCATACCGTGCACCGGCTCCTTCATATTTCCGCACCCCGCTCTCCGATTCGCTTCATACCTGTATCTATTATCCAAAGCCACCGGCAACCACTTTTTTCTTTCATTTCACTTTACATAGGGTTTTCTTCTTTCCCCGCCTCGCACTGGTGTTTCTCTCCAAGAACCTCAGGGCTAGATTTTTGCGTTACTGTATATAGTCATATTTATAGAATTCCTGCCATTTCGGGATTGGGCCCTGCTTGTTGAAATTGTTACTGCGCGTCATGCATTGGTGGCATTGTGGGTCCGAGTATATTCCGAACGCCCGAGCAGAGTACAGAGGGTGTCTATACGACGGGTATTGGCGCATATATATATATTTTTGGCGCTACTATTAAGGTACCCCCCAGCAAAGCATCTAAAGGTATGTGGTGTTGGATCATAGAAGATCACTCGGACGAGGAGTCTTCATGTGTGGGCCGTACGTACGTTCTCAGTTTTTGAGAGTATATATGGGATTCTTGTTAGATTAAAAGGAAAGATCGAGTTATAGGTATCTCTGTTCATGGAATGTGTTGAAAATTTGGTCAGCAGGGAAATGACCGAGTGATAGCGTGTGACGCGTGCGGGATGAAACTTTCGCCAGCGATTGATGAATGTGCAGATGCTGGTGGTACTTGTAGTCAAAGAGGGTAGATTGAGACGTTTTGATTTGCGTATATCAATATTGCCTAAAATAGATTGTAACAATGTACAAAAGAAAAGATATTTATTGAAAAGAAATTCCTCCATGGATCTAGGCTCTATATATACTTGCACCCTTACACTCTTAGTACCAATTCAACCAACTAAATAAACTGTTGGTATCTCCAAGATATAACTATCTTTATTTGTTTTTCCAACGCCTTGCACGGTTCACTATTCCCATCGTTCTCCAGATTCTTTCTCTATCCGCTCTGAGAGGAGCTTTGCAACATTCCAATGACTACCATCATTTGCACGTCTTAGGGCTATCAAGGCCTCCCCCGCACCGGCGCCGCTATCCAACAAGAGCTTTACCATGTCCAAATAGCCTGCAGTAGATGCGTATGCCAGGGCTGTGTAGCCCCGATACATCCCATTCACATTGGTACCGTTGTCCAGCAAGAGCTTTAACATATCCAAATGCCCGCTGGCAGCCGCCAAACCCAGAGCTGTGGAGCCCCCAAGACGATTAAATCACTTCGACGTATCTGCGCCATTGTCCGACAATAGCTTTATAATGTCTAGATGACCGCCTTCAGCTGCGTAGGTTAGGCTTCCCCGACCGGCTAGAGAAATTGCGTTCACGTCAGCACCGCTGGCCAAAAATAGCTTTACAACGTCCACGTGACCGCCTTTAGCTGCGTAGCTCAGGCTTCCCCGATCGTAGTAATCACTTGCGTTTACACGAGCACCGCGGGCCAACAGTGCCTGTACAACGTCCAGATGGCCGCCTTCAGCTGCGTAGCTCAGGCTTCCCCGACCGTACAGATCACTTGCGTCCACAAAAGCACCGCGGTCCAACGATAGCTTCACAATCTCCACATGCCCGCCTTTAGCTGCGTAGCTCAGGCTTCTCCGGCGGTGTTGATCCCTTGCGTTCACATCAGCACCGCGGTCCAACAGGAGTTGTGCCACATCGAAGTCGCCGTTCTCAGCTGCCAGTTGCAAAGGCGTTCTACCACGATCATCCACTTGCTGATTGATGTCTGTTCTTCTTATAACTATTTCCAAAATATCAAGGTGTCTTGACCTGATAACACCAGGATATAGTTTCGCCCACGGAAAGGTAGTCTTATAGGGTATATCATGCAGCAGAAGCGTGTCGACCACCTCTACGCACCTGGCCTCGAAGGTTAAATAAAGAACTTCTTCCTCGTCTAGACCCTCTATAATACGGCCATTTCGTAACAATACACCGGCCGCTTCGAATTGTTTATTTTCCATCGCTAGTCGTAATGATTCTCTGATCTCAGAATCACTTATCGGCCCAGAATCCAGGAGCCTTTTAATGGCAAGACAATAACCATTTACTGCAGCTTGTGTGAGCAGAGAAGAGACTGATTTCTCCGCCGAATCCGAGAAAAATTGGCCGACGCATTTTTTCTGCGGTTCTTTCCCACCACTTAGATCTAAATCCACTCCAAGTAGCCGAAATTCCTTTTTCAAATTATCAACCTGGCAGTTGTACCCATCCAACCATGGTGTTTTTAAAGCGCAAGCCGCGGTCAATCGATCCTTTGGGGCCGCAACGAGGAGGGCTTTTAAAAAAGATATCCCTTCTTTATCTTTACACATGTTTGATGCTTCCAGGAGATCTACTGGAAACTCTGCATGGCCGGAGCAATATTTCCTCAGGAGTTCGTCGTCAAGTAATCTTATTACCGGGACCCATGTTGAAGAGGTAACGTAGCCAGCGCTCAACTCAGAGTCAGAGTAGGGATCGAGGTCAGATTCTGGTTCTGTATCGGTCGCGCGGCGGCAAAACGGCGCCTTACAAGTCGCGATCTCATGCAATAAAATTCCCAGCGACCACATATCCAAAGCATAAGCCAGATATCGAGCCTTTCCCTTGGAAAAATATCCTAGTAATTCAGGGGCCATATATCCATATGTTCCAACTTGAGATCGTATAGAGGAAGAGTTCTTTTCTCGTTTTGAAACCCCAAAATCAGAAATTTTGACCCAAATAGGGTCAAGACAAACCACAAGGATGTTCTAAAAGAGTGATAGATTTGTTATTCAGGGCGCTTAACGATATATAGTCGTAATCAATGCGAAAAGGTACAGGAGCTTTTACCTGTGGCTTTAAGTCGCGATGATAGATCTTTAGAGAGTGGAGAATTGCAAGCCCCTCTAGGATTTGTTTGGCAATATCTTTCACCTCTAATAAGGGTTTGGGGCCGCCTTCGGCAATATATTTGCTCAAGTCTCCCCCCTCGACATATTCCATCGAGAGAAATATATGTTCGTGGTTTTCATACCAGCCTATAAATGCCACAAAAAGGTGCGGATACTTTTTCTGTTAGTTTTATATCATATATTGGAGGATTGAAGGATTGAAGCTCGAATACTCACTGCTTCTAGTTTGACTAAAGCTAGAATCTCCTGTGAGTGGCATGGATCTATCAGTGGGTTTCGAGCTAGGATTTTAACAGCTCTCAGCTCTCCTGCCCCTTCTTTTTCTTGGAGCCAGACAGATCCACTAGCCCCTACACCGATCCTTTGCTTCTTTTTCCACACCCATTCCGAACTCCCTATTTTGTGTACCACCTTACGGTCATCTTGATGCGTAGTTTCCAACTTGTGTTCTTCGAAAGCCTTGATCAACTCTTCCGGGATTTTTCGGACTAACCGCGCAGGAGAGGCCATACTGTATATACAGCGAGCGGCACACTGCACAGGTGAATGTTTAACGCGGTGTCGCGGGTATCCGTTTGGTCTCACGATTAAGGTTGTGAACGGATACTTGCTGTGGAAATCACGATGAGGTATAAGTGGAGCAGAGCCTTGCTTTCCCCGCCTTTCGAGTATACATAGTAGAGTCAAGTGCATGTGCACGTACTCTACTCTAGGCAGAGTGTTCTACCTACGCACATGTATACACACCTACGCACATGTATACACGTGGTGAAACGGTCTGATTGGGCATGAATGGTGATTGGCCAGCCATGACTGAAGCCAATGAATGAACCTAGCTCCTCTCACTTAAGTATCAAGGTTCGCAATTTTTAGCATTGTATGGGTCTTGGTAGCTGGTTTATGTTTGCATGGACATTGCCGTATACCGATTTGTAACACCGGGGGATGCAGTGCCTCATCTCGGACCGAGTAATTGTTGGTGGTCATAGTATATAGTACTTGTCTCAATCCATGGCTGCTGCTCTGGATATTCATGTCTCGATCCTTCTCGATGAGCTGATGAGGTCGGGGTTAACCGTGAATATACCACTGCATGCCCTGAAGCGCCCTGAAGCTTACTTCAGGGTTAAGCGGGCACAAGACTCCAGGCATTGCTTAGTACATAACTACTTTAGTCATCATCGTGCTCGCTCATTCAAGGGTAGCTGCGTCTAAGCCAAAGGTGGGTTCGCGATTGGGTTTGGCATCTTACCCGTAGAGATCTTCCACCCTCCGTCCTATCAGTCATTGACCTTAATTTAGCTCCTATCCATGAGTTTTGTCAAGATGTGATTGTATAATATCGACTCTGTACTAGTTCATGGTAGAATTTACGAATTTACACACCAAATTGAGTATTGCAAAATTGATAAATTAGAACCGCGGAGCTAGCCGCAAAGCTGCAAGGCGAGAAAGGAGGGTTTGACAGCCGCGTAGCGGCTTGAGAGCCCGACTTCGAGCACTTGCAGAGTAAGCATTATTTTACTACATACATGTAGAGTCGACTGTATGCTTCAGGGCATTGCTTTATATAAGCGTAGCGCAGCTCCAGTATGGTACTGTGTTTCTGCGACCTATCCCGCGGCCGGTTGTCCCAATGAGTCATAGCCGCAACATGCTTCGAGTGATATTCCATGAATGTTTCCACATTCAAAACGGCACTAGCCCGAATCGAACGCACCGACCTCGACAATGAATGTCATACCCACCAAACCCGCACACCAAACCCACCAAACCAAAAAAAATTATTCAGAGCCAATAAACGAAGTCGGCCTTTGCTCCGATCCGTATATGCATACGCCCACCACAGCTTCGCACCCGCTATATATGCACCAGGCTCTCGACTATTCTCCGCTCTACTGTAGAGGAATCCAGTAGTCTGCGGCGAGAATATATACTCACATGCCTGACGGTACAAACCGCAGCTAGTGTTGGACACGAGCCGGATCAAGACGAACCTGGCCTGGAGCTCGATCGAGCTGGCTTGGATTGTGAGAATAAAGGCCCCCTGCAGGCGTTCGAACCCAGGTAGTTTAAGTAGGCTAGCTCGGGCTTGCATTATCATAGTTCAAAAATAGTCATCTCGATTGAGTTCTCATTCCTAAGGGCCCATTCTACATAGGGGTCTATCTTGATCGTATATCTCATTTGCCATTATGGTCTTGATATCAGCGCGGTCCAGAATCGGGCTTTTCCAATCGTGGGTCGAGCGCGTAGTAGGGGCGAGTGGGCGAGTTAAGAATATTCAACTGCCGTGGCCATATATGCCCGGATATAGTTGCAAGATAGCGGAATAAATAGCCAGTGGGACCTTCTAGTCACCCTGGAGGTTGGGGTAGTTTTTTGGATTACCGGGATGAATGGGATGGGGTAGTTCTTTTCATATCACTACAATCATGTCTATATCTACACCTCTATCTACACCCCCCCCCATCTCTACCCCCTACTTCCCCACCACAAAATTCACCACCCTCCCCCCTCCCGCCACCACACTCTTCACCACCCTCTTCCCCGCAACCCACCGTCCCCCCTCCCTAGTCTCCAAAAACCTCTCCAAAACATACTCCGCCGCCCCCTCCCCCGCCATCCTCGCCGCCTCCACCTCCATCACAAGCCTCACCTTCCCATCCACCTGCACCGCACACCTCACCCTCTCCTCCAGCACCCCATCCAACGCCGCAGCATCAACGACCGGCCACCCCCGCCGCAACACCGGCGCCGCCCCCGGCCGCAGCACCGCCCAGCACTCGCTCGCAAACGCCGGCGTGACGGGCGCCATCATGTGCAGCAGCACTTCGAGCGCCTTATACCGCACGCCCACACCAACCTCCCCGCCGGGCTTCAGCGCGTGTAGGGTATTCGTCAGCTTCGTCAGCGTACTGATGACCGTATTCAGCGCATACGTCTCTGCGAACGACGCCGTCACCTCCCGCAGCGCGCTCTGCACCTCCCTCCACAGCCGCTTCTCCGCCGCCATCTCTGCCACCACCGCCGCATCCGGATCACCCGGCACCCCGTCAGTAGCAGTAGCGCAGACGAGCCCCCACACGCGCCCAAACCACCGCTGGATGCCCACAATCCTGTGCTCGTCCCACTCCAGCACGTCCTCGACGGCCGCCTGGAAGAGCACATGCGCCCTCGTTGCGTCCGCGCCGTACCGCGCGATGGTGGCGGCGGGGTCGACGCCGTTGTGCTTGCTCTTCGACATCTTCTCGTAGGTTACGAGGGGCGACAGGTTGTCAGTGCCGGCGATGGTGCCGTCGGCGGCCAGGTCTGACGGCGTGAGGAATTTGCCCGTGGACGGGTGCGTGTAGGTGCGGCCGTGGACCATGCCCTGCGTGATGAGCTTGCGGAAGGGTTCGGCGGCGTTGGCGGCGCCGCCGCCGGTGGGCCAGTGGCCGGAGGCGTGCAGGAACTTGGCGATGAAGCGGGAGTAGAGGAGGTGCAGGATTGCGTGTTCGACGCCGCCGATGTAGAGGTCGACGGGGAGGAGGGAGGTGGATTCCTTAGAGAACAGTCTGCGGCGGGGGGGTTAGTAGGTGGGGTATGGGTGAGAGGGGGTGAGGGGGGGGTACTCTTTCTCGTTATGCGGGTCCACAAAGCGCATGTAATACCAGCTACTATCCACAAACGTATCCATCGTATCCGTATCCCTCTTCGCCTCCCCGCCACAGCTGGGACAACTAGTATTCACCCACTCCTCCACCGCCGCCAACGGACTCCCGCCCCTCCCCTTGACATCCACGCCCTCCGGCAGCCGCACGGGTAGGTCCTCCTCCCGCACTGGCACAACCCCGCACGCACCACAATGCACCATCGGGATCGGCGTCCCCCAGTACCGCTGCCGACTCACCAGCCAATCCCTCAGCCGCCACTGCGTCTTCTCATTCGCCCACTGCTCCCCTAACTTCTCCACAATGGCCTTCTGCGCCTCGTCCGAGGCCATACCAGCAAACTCACCGCAGTCCCCCGACAGGACGCCGTGCGCCGTAAACACCACCGCAGGCGCAGCAGCGCCCGCCGGCGGGAGGATAACAGTCTTGACCCCTTCCCCTGGACAATTCTGCGCCCAGAACGCCGCATCGCGGACATCGTGGCCGGGCACACCCATGACCGCGCCCTCGCCATACCCCTCAAGGACATACTCGGCCGCAAACACTGGCAGCGGCGGCGCCTGCGGGAGGAGCGGGTTCGTTGCCGTTACGCCGGGGAGGCGGAACCCATGCTTTGCTTTCCCGTCCGGCGAGGCGGCCTTGCTCTCCTCGGCGGCCTTCACGAACTGCGCCAGCGCCGCGTTGCCCGCGGCGAGGCGCTGCACGAGCGGGTGCGAGGTGGAGAGTGCCAGGTATTGCGCGCCGTGCAGCGTGTCCGCCCTCGTGGTAAACACCTGCACCGTCTCTGTCTGCGCTGCGCCGTCGACCGTGACCGGGAAGCGGATCTCTGCGCCGCGGCTGCGGCCGATCCAATTCTTCTGCTGCGCGCGGACCCTTTCTGGCCACAGATCCTTGAGGATCTCGAGGTCGTCCAGCAGCGCGTCTTGGTAGGCGGTGATCTTGAGGAACCACTGCTTCAGCAGCTTCTGCTCGACGAGGGCGCCGGAGCGCCACGAGTGGCCGCTGGCAGAGACTTGTTCGTTGGCCAGCACGGTCTGGTCGACGGGGTCCCAGTTGACGAGCGACTCGGCGCGGTAGGCGAGGCCTGCGGCGTGCAGCTTTAGGAAGAGGCGCTGCGTGTGCGTGTAGTAGTCTGGGCTGCACGTCGTGAGTTCCTACCACAATCACCGCCGTCAGCCCACCCACTCGTGAAGGGGGAAGGGGAGAAGGGGGGGGGGGGGGGGGAAAGGTAGGCATACATACTCTCCCCCAATCAAACGCCACGCCCATGCCCTCAAACTGCGTCTTCATGGCCGCAATGTTCTGCTCCGTCCAGCGGCGGGCGTCGACGCCGCGCTCGATGGCCGCGTTCTCGGCGGGCAGGCCGAAGGCGTCCCAGCCCATGGGGTGCAGCACGTGGCGGCCGCGCATGCGGTGGAAGCGCGAGAGCGTGTCGGAGATGGTGTAGACGCGCAGGTGGCCCATGTGCAGCGTGCCCGAGGGGTATGGGAACATGGAGAGGATGTAGAAGCTTTGCTTGTCCGAGGTGGTGGGGGGAGGTGGGGGAGGGTGCTGCAGGTGGGAGCGCCATTTGGCGTCGAGGGCGGGGAAGTCGAGTTTTGGTGTGTTGGCCCGGGTGGTGTTGGGGCGGTGGAGGAGCGGGGGGAGGGCTGTAAGTGTAGGAAGGCGGGCTCGGGGGTGTTGCAGGCAGCGCAGCGCTGGGCGCGGGGCCGCGAGGAGACTGAAGGGGAGGCGGCCGCCCATCTGTACTCTTTCTCTCTCAGTCCTGTATCGCAATTGCGCACTCGACAGACGTGGGCGGGCGTATCTCCACCGTTCTTCAGTGCCGGTGGTGCAATTGCAGTTGCGGTTCAAGTGTGTCTGTCTGTCTGTCTGTCTGTGTGTCTGTCTGTCTGTCTGTGGGTTAGGTGATCCGCATGCAGCACACCCCGCTGTCTTGGCGCTGCGGCTCTGCACCGGGCGAGTGACGGTCTGTGATGCCCCAGTCTCCAGTCTTCAGTCTACAAAGCACAACGCAGATAGGGGCATATCGATCTGATTGCAGTTGGATCTCCCCCTCTCTTCTCGTCCCAACATCCCCAGCATCCCATCCCATCCTGTGCACTGGTTAGGCGCGCGGCACACATCCCATCCCACCAGCCAACCAGCCAACCAGGCAGTGACAGTGACAGTGACAGTGACAGTGACAGTGACAGCTGGGTAATTGCGCAATTCCAGACTCCCTCCCTCGATCAGCCATGACCTGGGGTGTGAGGGTGTGTGCCTGCGCCTGTGCCTGTGCCTGTGCCTGTGCCTGTGAGTGCGAGATTTGTGATGCGAGATTTGTGATGCGAGATTTGTGTGATCTGAGATAGGGCAACACGCACGGGAAATGGGAAAAACTCGCTTATCGTGGTGCGACCGACCCGACCGGTGGCCTGCCAAGGACGATCTCCCTCTCGCCTTCAGGCACCGACCGAGCGACCTCTGACAAGGCCAGGCCAGGCAAGACAAGAATAGAGCATCTACATTCCCCGGGGACCGAAGCTATATACATAGAGTCTACCTAACCCCCCCCCCCTTTCAATTCGCCATGCCGCGCCTCCCCCCCCACCTCCTCCACCGCGCCCGCGCCCACAACCCCCTCCTCCCGCTCCTCCTCCCCGAGTGCCGCGACCCCGCCTCCGCCCTCTCCGAGCTCCGCTGGCTGCGCGCCCACGCCCACGCCACCGCCCAGCCCCTGCGCCCGCTGTGCGAGCGCCGCCGCCGCGGTGAGCCCCTCCAGTACATCCTCGGCACGCAGCCGTTCGGCGCCCTCGAGATCCTGTGTCGGCGGGGGGTGCTCATCCCACGGTCTGCCTCTTCCCCCCCAATTCCCCCCCCCCCCCCTCTCACTACCTTAGGCCTCTGTTGACACAGCACATGCAGACAAGAGACAGAAGACCTGATCCACCGCCTCGCCGCCCGCCTGACCCACACCCACACCCACACCCACACCCACACCCCCCCCGCGCACCGCCCCCTCCGCATCCTCGACCTCTGCACCGGCACCGGCTGCATCCCCCTCCTCCTCCACTCCCTCCTCCCCTCCTCCTCCATCCTAGCAATCGACATCTCCCCGGTCGCCGTGGCCCTGTCCCGCCGCAACCTCGCCCACAACATCGCCCTCGGCGCGCTCCCGCCCGCCGCCGCACACAGTGTTGCGTTCCGGGTCGGCGACGTGCTGGATGTGCCGGGTCTGCTGGGGGCTGTGAGGGCGCATTTCGGCGGGGAGGAGGGGGAGGGGAGGGGGGTGGTGGACGTGGTGGTCGCTAACCCGCCGTATGTTTCGGCGCGGGGGTTCGATGTGGAGACGGCGCGGTCGGTGAGGAGGTATGAGCCGCGGCTTGCGCTGGTGCCGCGGGGTGGTGAGTGGGAGGGGGATGGGGGTGGGGATGGGTTTTATCCGGTTGTGGGGAGGGTGGCGGGGGAGTTGGGGGCGGGGGTGGTGGCGGTGGAGGTGGGGGGGTGGGCGCAGGCGGGGAGGGTGAGGGGTGTCTGGGAGGGGGAGGGGGAGGGGTGGGAGGTGGAGGTGTGGGCGGATTATGCGGAGAGGGGACGGGGCGTGGTGGCGTGGAGAGGGGAGTGGGGGGGTGGGTGGGAGGCGGAGGTGCAGAGTGGGGAGGTGGAGAGGATGAATTGAGGTTTGTTTTGTGAGTGATATATGTGATTGTGAGTGATTGAGTGAGTGAGTGACTTGTACCTACAGCTGCGGACGTGAAGTGAATTGTGCACAAAGACCTTTGAGTGACATGCCTGACTAGACTGGGATATGACCGAAGAACAAGCAAGCAGAGTAAGCTGGAAATAGAACGGAAAAAGAAAAGAAAAGAAAAAGTATCATTCCGATCCCACTACTGTACACCCATCCAAGCATAAGAACTACATGTAGCTAGCTACCCCCTCCCCCGCCCTGCCACCACCTGCATAAAAGCTTGTTACTTCCCCATAGCTCCCACAATCATTGGCCCCCCACATCCCCCCCCCCCCCAAACCACCTCCCCCATCCCAAACACCCACACTACCTCCCCACCCTCACATCCCCCTCCCCCTCCTCATCACTATCGTCCCTAAACCCCTCCTCCAGCGCGCCCGCCTCCGCGCCATCGTCCGGCAGCATCACGCGCCCGCCGCTGCGGCCCGCGAACAGCGTCTGCAGCGGGATGCTCTGCAGGATGGGCCGCAGCGCGATGCGGTACGCGATGAAGAGGATGGTCGCGCAGGTTAGTGTGAGCAGCGAGGTCTGTTTTGTGTTAGTGGGCGGACAGTGGGGAGGGGGGAGGGGAGGGGGGAGGGGAGGGGGGGGGGGGGGGGTACGGTGATGAAGTTGGCGACGGTGCCGGCCATCTTGTTTATTTAGGTGGGCTGGGCGGTGGGGGTGTGGTAATTTAAGATCACGGTGCGGTAGCCTGGGAGTGAGTGAGTGTTTGGGTCTTGGGATTGTTTGTTTGTTTGTGTTCTTCACAGAGCAGAGTAGATTAGAGCTTCGGTGAGCTCGAAACAGGTAGGTAAGTAAGGTCGTCCGGCAGGTAGAGTAGATAGAATAGCACGTAAAGTCACATCATGCACCACCCTAACCTAAACTCAAACCCACGCGTCCCCCAGCTGAAACCTGAGACATGTGGCGATACCCTTGTGACGGACGGACAAGCCTGCCTTACAAAGCATCCAAGAAGATCCATATGCTACTCTAGTCGCTAAGCGCCCTGGGCCCAGGTAGTCCACAGTAGGGAAGGTAGGTAGAGTAGGTAGAGTAAAGAAAGGCACATGGAGGTAGGTGCATACCGTTACTTCTCGAGAAATCCACTATCCCCGCTTCGTTAAATCTTAATTCCGGGCGAGGAAAAGTGTGCATCTGCACGAGTCCGCGAAGTTTGATGCTTGGTCCGGACTTGCCACATACTAAATACGGGGATAGTGGATTATTCGAGAACTAACGGTGCTCTAGAGTACGGTGGTCTGTACTCAACACTCTCTCTAAGCGAGCGAGCGCGACCTTTCAATAGCTAGCTAGCTGCTTCTGGCGCAGATTAGGGGGGGGTAGTAGGGTGCTCTGCTCTCGGATCTATCGTTGTATTTTTAGGTCATGACTTTGATGTTCTTGTGTAGGTACGTCCGCACGGAAGGGGGTGTGAAAGATTTTTTTTTTTAACACCTTCATCTTGTGCCCGTCCAATCAGGCAGGCAGGCAGGCAAGTAAGTGTAATAAGTAGGCAGTCTTTTGTTGCTCGGTGGGTTGTGGTTGTGGTGCCTGCGGCAACGGATTTGCAGTCGAGACTGAAGACTGGTAGTGGATACATCCACATGTCCACTGGCCCCCCCCCCTACAGCAGCCAGCCAGCCAGCCAGCCAGTGAGGAGATCTACCTAGCTAGAGGATATCGAGAAACTTACGCTCGCTCATCAAAACCCGTTCGAGAAACGTTAGATACCTACCAGCTTGTTTTTGTATCGCCATCCAGCTAGCCAGCCGCCTATAGCCGCGTGCACCAATCACGACCACACCGACCGCTACCACCGCCGACCGACCGCTGACCGCTAGCGACTTTCTTTAATCGGAGGGGCTGTTTTTGTGGACAAGGTGGGGAGGTCTCAGGGGAAAAGGAAAAAAAAAAAAAAAAAGAACGGAAACCGAGAAATCAAGGTCAAAAACAAAGATCACACAGAGGGACGGTTCGAAATAAAGTGCTTGCAGGAGGGGCAACAAGCTGCTGCTAGCTGCTTACTCTAGCTACTGCCAATACTGACAGACAGCCCTGAGGCTTGGAAAACCCCATTAACGAACAAGGGTCCTCAACTCAACTCGGGTCAGGGAGGGGGCTTTTTTTGATTCTATCTGGTCTTGTCACCCACACAACGTGCAACCCCCAACATCACCACCCACAACCACCTCTTTCACCTACAACAACCACAACACTCCTTCATCCCCCCCCCCCCCCCCCCCGCGCCACTTACCCATCAACACAAACCCACGCACAAAGGTAAACAAAAAAAAAAAAAAAAACTCCGCTCAGGGCGCGGATGTTAGACCACCAACGATCACCACCTCGATCCCACAGCGCGACAGCACCATCGCCATCCCCGGAGTTTTCCCAAACACCGACGCCCCCGACCCATGTCCAACAACTCCCATGCCGCTCCCCGCTCGTCGGGAGGCGGGAAGTCATCCATCTTCTCGCGGAGTAAGCTTCCAAAGGTAGCAACCTTCTCCAGCTCCTCAAAGGGCGGAGACCCATACCCCCCCATAGATCCGGACAGCTTAAAGAGCTCATCACGGGGAAGCAAGGGACCTCATCATTCGCGCCTGAGCTCAAAGGGCGACAACAACATGCGGGAGAGCCACCACTACACCGGCGAGCCGTCGCCCACGCACACGAACGGCTACTCGGCCGGCAATGTTTCCTCGATCTCGTACGATAGTGTGTCGGCGGATCTCAAAAGGCAGCCCATACCGATTGATCATAGTTTGAGGCCGGTGTCAAGGGGCGATGAACAGGTAACCCCCCATGCGCTGGGTAAGTTTGGCGATTTTCATCAGTACCCACAGGTTCACCCGTCGGTCGAACAGCAGCAGCAGCAGCAGCAGCAGCAGCAGTACTCGCATGGTTCAGGGCAGAGGCCGCAGCCATCTCATTACGAGTCATCGTCGTCCACGGCTACGCTCAACTCACAGCACCATCAACACCAGCAGGGATATGTAGCTTACAACGGCAGTTATCAGCCGCCGAGCCCTTATTCGAATTCAACGTTTTCCTCTCGCCCCCAGGATCCTCACAGTCAACACCAGCACCAGCACCAGCCGCAGCAGCAGCAGCAGCACCACCACTACCAGCAGCCGCAGCAACAGCAACAACAGTACTACGGTTCAAACGCGTCGGAATCTACGTATTCGCGCCCAGGTTCCGACCAGGCTTCAATATATTCCTCAATCTCATCGGCGACCCGGAATTCTATTGTGTCCATCGCTCCGAGCGTAGTCGACCATCTTATCCCGTCTCCGATGAACTTTAGCTCTGCGGATGGATTTGCACTGGAGCGCCCCCGAGACGATCGGGAGGTGGAGCGGATGTTTCAAGAACTGATGGAGAAGAGAGGCTTTTCAGGACTTCCGAAAGAGGCGCAACGCGGAATTATGGCTTATCCGACAAGTAAAAAGTGGATTTTGATCCACCAGGATAAACTTGCAGACTTCCAGGCGGATCAGAAGAGGAGGGCGGCGGCGCAGGCACAAGAGAGAGATCCGGACGAGGGCGGTCCGGAGTGGTATGTGAAGAAGATTCTGGACGGCACGATCAGCGCGAAGCAGCTCGGGAGTTTGAGTGTGTCTCTTCGGACACAACCTATTAGGTACGCCACCCGCCGGGATTTCGTTTTTATTTTGGTAGAGAGTGGCTAATGTTGCGGTGCTCCCAGTTGGGTCAAGAAATTCATTGAGGCCCAGGGACAGGTCGCTCTCACGACTGTTCTCCGGAGCATAAATAATCACACTGGAAAGAACGCCGCCGGATCCGATGCTATTCTCGATCGAGAATATGACATTGTGAAATGTTTAAAGGCGATTATGAACAGCATGTATGGCGCCGAGGACGCATTTAAGCACCACCACTGTGTTTCTGCGCTCACGGCGTCTCTCACCTCGCCCCGAGTGACAACCCGAAAGCTTGTCTCGGAGGTTTTAACCTTCTTGTGTCATTGGGAACGACCAATCGGTCACACCAGTGTCATTGCTGCGCTGGACCAGCTGAAAACCTACCAAGGAGAACATGGCAGGTTCGACTCCTGGCTCAGGATCGTCGAGGTTACTATCGACGGCCGAGGAAAGCTCGGGAGTCTTGTGGGTGCTAGTGAAGAGGTTCGGTCTGGAGGTATTGGAATGGAAAGTTTGCTCATGGAATATGCGCTCGCGACACTATTCTTGATCAATATCATTGCCACCGGCTGTGATGATCTCCATGCTCGTATTCACATCAGGGCACAGCTGAAGGCATGCGGGTTCCAGAGGATCTCGACAAAGATGCAAGGGTTCCAGTACGAACTCATCGACAAGCAGATCCAGAAGTACGAAGATGACGCCGCAACGGACTACGACGAGCTTATGGAAAGGGATGGAGGTAGTATGACAGATAGCATAGAGGGGGATCCAAAGGATCTCAACGACCCAGCTGCCATCGTAGATGCTATCATGACCAAGGTTCAGGGTTCTCAAGCGCAGGACTACTTTCTGTCTTCGCTGCAACATCTATTACTCATGCGGGACAACAACCATGAGGACCGACTGCGCATGTTCCAGCTTGTTGATTCTATATTAGGTTATGTCGTTATGGACCGGCGCCTGCCGGATATGGAATTGAAAGCGAGTCTGAACTTTTCGGTTCAGGCGCTTATGGACAAGCTGCATACAGATGCAGAGGCCCGCCATGCGCTAGAGCAGGCATCCGAGTATCGGCAGATTGCAGAGAACGCGATTGCCGAGCGAGATGCCATGAAGGAGCAGATTGCCATGGGCGCGGATGGACTAATTGCAAAACTACAGCAGCAGTTGGAGGAACAGACGCAGGTAATTGAGATTGGTAGACGGCAAATCATGGGGCTTACCGGAGAGCTGGAGGAGATCAAGCTCGCTCATGCTATGCAGATGCAAAAGAGTGAGCTGGAAACCAGAGAGCTGTATCTCATGCTCCGAGACTCCCAGGATGTAGCAGATGCCGCACACGCGGAGAAGGTCAAAAAGGCGAAGAAGGAAGGAAAGCCTATTCCAGAAGAGCTGAGCGTTGCCCAGATGAAGGGTATCATGGATAGGGAGAAGCTTATGATGAGGCTCGAGACGCAATTGGAGCGCAAGAAGACTGAGTTCAAGCTCGAGGGTAAGGTCTGGCAACAAGAAGTAGCGCCGAGTGATAGGTTGAGGGAGCTCCGGGAACGTATGGACGCCGTTCAACGAGAGGCCAGACAACTAGAACAGGAGCACTTTGAGGAGGCGAAAAAACAACGAATCGCCTCTGATAACTTCGGAGGTATTAATAGCGATGGCGTTTACCACACACCACTCGGGAGGAGGACTTCGTCAGCGCCTAATCTTGCCGAGAGGGAGAGAATGTTGAGAAAGGATGTTGAGCGGGAAGATGGAATTACGGAGGAGAGCGAGGGTGAGGAGAAGGAAGGAACCATTGGAGTTGCAAGAGCAGGAAGAGCAGGAATCATCACCCTTGGGAAGAGAGGAAAGAGACCTATGAGAGGAGGAAGACCTAAGATGCCGGCCGACCAGGCTACTAGATTGTTGGGCGAACTTAAGACTAGGGTTCGTAGGGATTCCGAAAGCGGTAACGACGGGGAGGGTGAATATGAAGACCCGGATGAGGATCCGGTTGCTGGAGAGGATGGGGTCTCCACCGGACGCTCGCGCTCTAGCACCGAGTCCGATTCTCCGAAGACGCCTGTGGACCTTGGCACTGCTGCAACGGGTGAGGAAGCCAAACTTGATGGACCTGCGGCGCCTGTTGTACTTATCCCAGGATTTGACACGAGGGCTCCTCCCCCGCCCCCACCGCCGCCAGGTATGCCAGGAGCCTTCCCCCTTATGGATGGGTTCAAGAACATTGCTCCTCCGCCCCCTCCGCCACCTCCGGGCATGGCTGGATTACCTGGGTTCAAGACCGACTCTCCCGCAGCACATCCGCCACCTTTTGGTATGCCAGGTTTCGGTACTAGTGCCCCACCACCCCCAGCACCTCCTATGCCAGGTTTCGGTACTAATGCTCCCCCTCCTCCGCCGCCGCCCCCGGGCACGGCTGGATTTACTAATGGTGCCCCCCCCCCTCCACCTCCTCCACTGCCAGGCTTCTCAGTTGGTGGGCCTCCACCCCCTCCACCCCCACCACCAGGTCCTGGGGGGTTCAAGATAGGAGGACCCCCACCACCACCCGGAATGCCTGGCATGCCTCCGCCGCCGCCTACGCCCATGGGTATGCTCTATGGCGGAGCAGCTGGTGCGCTGTTCACCGGTATGAGGCCGAAAAAGAAGCTGAAGCCCATGCATTGGGAGAAGCTGGATGGCGTGGAGTACACCATTTGGGCGAGCCGATTCGATAAGGACGCAATGTACGACGAGCTGAGCAAGAAGGGTATCTTGGAGGAAATGGAGCGCCTGTTTGCGTTTAAGGAGGCCAAGATATTGAAGAAATCCGCTGGTGCGGCCGAGAAGAAGAAGGAGTTCCTGGACTCGTCGATCGTCAAGGCTTTCCAGATTTCTCTGTCCAAATATGCCAATATTCCTGTTGACCAGCTTGTCAAAAAGATCCTGTCTTGCGACAAGGATATGCTTGATAACTCGGCAATCATGGACTTCTTGCTGAAGGACGAGCTTTGCATTATCTCTGATAACCTGTCGAAGAACTTGACGCCTTACAGCATCGACTGGACAGAACCAGATGCTGAGAAGCAGAAGCGAGAAGCTGATCCCAACGAGCTACGTAGAGAAGATCATATCTTCTTGGAGACGGCCTACAATTTGCACCACTACTGGAAGGGTAGGATAAGAGCCTTGGCGTTGACAAGAAGCTTGGATCCGGACTACACAGAGTTGCAAGGCAAGCTGCACCAGATCGTCAAGGTTGCAGACAAGGTCCGGGGCTCGAAGGCGTTCCACGGGGTGCTCAATGTAAGTTACTCTTTTTACTAAGTTTAAGGTTTGGCGCTAGTACTAATCCGTGTTTACTAGGTTATTTTGACGATGGGTAATTTCATGAACGATACCAATAAGCAAGCTTCTGGTTTCAAGCTTGGAACACTCTCCCGATTGGTTAATCTGAAGGATGATAAGAACCAAAGGTCTCTCATGGACTATATCGAGATGTCGATCCGTAACAAGTTCCCTGAATGGCAATCTTTCATGGATGACTTGCACGAATGTATCGCGCTAGAGAAAGGTTTGTATACAGTTGTTGAACCCCCGTATGTGCAAGTAAAAGAAGCCGTGACTGACGAAGCTGTGTAATAATAGCCGATGTGGATAACTTGATGCAGCAAGCAAAGAGGTTCATCGACAATATCCATAACATCCAGGCCTCTGTCGACGCCGGAAATCTCAGTGATCCGAAGAAATTCCATCCTCAGGATCGTGTCTTGCAGGTCGTATTACCGCTCTTGCCCGAGGCGAGAAAGAAGGCGGGATATCTTAAGGATCACTTGGATGCCATGACGAAGACGTACAATGACCTTCTTACGTATTATGGCGAGGACCCGGCGGATGAACAGTCGAGGAAGAGGTTCTTCAAAATGATTGCGGACTTCTTGAAGAATTACAGGGTAAGTTTTTGCCCTTTTCGCGGGAGATTTTGAGCGGGGTATTGATTCTGTGCTAGGCGTCAAACAACAAGAATTTGGAACTTGAGGACGATGAGAAACGACGAGAGAGGAGGATTAAAAACCAGCCCACGGTGCCGGGGGTCGGCATATGTCAACTTCCTCCCAACAAATCTGGTGCTATGGATGCGCTGCTTGAGAAGCTTAAGAAAGCCGGTCCAGCGGTTCGACAAAGACGCCGTGATCAGTACAAGGGCCGCAACGGCCGAACAGCGTCAGGTACACGAACAGTGTCTAGCCAGAGTATCCCTGGGGAACCTACATCTGGTGGAGAATCAGCATCACCTGAGATGCCCCTTACACCGATGACACTCCCAGTTATTGAGGCGACAGAGGAAGAAAACTCCTTAACATCCAGGTCGCAGGAGATATTAATGCGGTTACGTGAAGAGAACAGTGGTGATGGTGCAGCCAGTGGAACAGCTGGAAGTCTTCGTGTGCGAAGAAGAAGGGCCAGCGGAGACGATGTAAGAAGGGAGAGGAGGAGAAGACAAGGGAGCAACGTGTCGGCATCTGGCACAGATGCTGCTCTGGAGGGAGAGGATACAGAGAATCAGGATGAAATGATCGCAAAGGCGAAGTTAGCGTTGATGAACATGCGAAGAGGATCAGAGGCGGATGTAGAGGAGGATGCTGCGGCTGGAATGCCAACACCCACAACGATTGTATCGCCGCCGTCACCAAAGCTAGAAAAGGCAGAGCCAGTCGTTGCGGCACCTGAGTAGTGTACTTTTTTGGTCAAGGGTTTTGTGGTTTGGTTTTCCTTTCTGTTTCCCCCCGCTGGGGTTTATTTCTTTATCAGCCCTCGCCTCAAAGTGGGGGTAATTAATGGGTTTCTCGTTCTCTACGGGTCTGTGGTTTCTTTATGTTTTTTTTTCTGTGGGGGTTTCCTAAAGTTGTTTTTATTATCCCTATTCTTTCTGGTTCTTTGTATATGGAAATTTTTCTTTCCGTTTTGCCTGCCCGATATCTTCCTTCTTTACTGGCATGGCATAGCCTGACACCGGCCGAACATTTTACCCACTTTCCTTTGTCTAATATCTTTTTCGTACTGGACTCTCTATACTTTGTCGGAATGTTCTGGGATGGTCGGTTTAGTCTGGTCCCGGCCTATACATAGTTCTTGTGTCACTTCTGTAATGACATATTTGTTTAGTTCCCATTACGGACACAGTACATATGCGCTCCTTCACTCCCTTCCCCCCCCCCCCCCCCCAAGCTCGGGTTTTATTTTTCCTTATTGTTCAATATCCTCTTTTTAGTCTGTTAATTTCCTTACTGCCAGGTGGATGGATGGGTTGGTTGGTTGGTGGGTCGGTGGGGTGGGTGGGGTTGTTTGGTAGCTTTTCTTCTTATTTCTTACCTATTCTTCTTCTGTGGATTACGCTGTATTTTAAGGGCCTACCATAGGAGGGTGATTTTTTTCTATTCCTTATCTAAGTCTATATAATTGTTTAGTTTACTGTTAGCTGTCGATACCAAAATTGAATGCAGTATGTAAAGAGTAAGGGGGGGTGCGTAGACTTTAGTTACGTATACGTTTCGGGCAAGTAAGGAAATGGTTTCGTTGGGCGAGTGATCTGCTGTGACTCGGTGGGAAGTTAACTAATCCGTTATTGGCCATCCTTCATCAGGCGTCACTCGAACCTTTGGCGAAACGAGTGATAGCAGATGAAGGTAGTTTGGGCTAGGAGGTATCTAATACCTGCAGGTAGCCTAGAGGGCTCTAGGTTTAAATTCTATCTTTCCCTTTCTTTCTTTCTTTTAATCACGATACGTAAGTTTGCCGCCGCGAGCTCTGTGAAAAAAAAAAAAATGCCCCTGCCCAGGAGCTTGTGTCTTGGCGCTAGCCAACCCGTCAAGTATTACTTCCAGCGAGTAGAGATTGTGTGGGCGAGTTTGTCTAGGGGTAGACGGCTCGTCATGGAGGAACACTGAGTATTTGAATCCCGTGACCATTAGTAGGTCATAGGTTTAATCCTGGGGTTGATTGATTGATGGATTGATGGATTGATCGCTGTAAAAAATACTCTACAGTACTATTTGTATTTCTCATATCATACTTCATGTACTCTTCGCTTAAAGATCTGATGAACCCCTCTGTCAATACATAATACTCCATCTTAGTACTGAGAAGGGTTCCACATACTCCAAAATGAGGCCTTATTTTGCTATTCAGTTGAACAAGGTATTAGTTCAAACAAAAAGTGTGAACTGCCGACTTGAGCGGTTTCGGAGTGCTACCTTAGACCATCTTTTTTGATAAGCCAATGGAAAGTTTGAAGGTTTTTCTCCACCGGGAGAGGAGTCTTTAGATAAAAGGGAATGTTTCGTGTCCCTCAATCTTGCCCTACTAAGTAACTCCTTCGAGCCTACTCTTTGCACATATACTCACGCATTGATTAAGTCGTGAAAATCATTGGTAGCAACGATCTCACAAAGTTTCTCGGGATTTAGTTAACGCGCGAGTAGATGTCTTAATTTGAGTTCTTTCAGAATGTTTTAAAAAAAAAAGAACTGAGACTATACCATGTATGCTAAACGAAAGATTCAGTCTGATCCTAGGTTCATGACACCATATCGCCCCAGTTTCTGCATACTACGTATGCATATAATTAAGAGTCATCAAATTCGTAATATTTGAACCATTCGAACCAATTTGGAGATTAGATAATATGTGGTGATTGAATTTCATAAGACAAAATGAACTGTTTGCTTGCCCAGACCTGTAGCGGTGATAGTATCATAGCTTTGTCTGTGATAAGGTTCACTAAGCAGATATAACGTTGTTCACTCTTATAAAGTCGACGGGGGGAGATGTCTCGTGCCTCGAGGCTCCCAGCCACTCCGAAGGAACCCCATAGCCCACAAGACGTATACGCCTAGGTTCAGTATAACCTCGCCTCGAGCGGGCTGGAGGTCCTTGAAAGTAGTCAGAACACTTGAGACAAGCATAAACGCTGCCTCGAATCGGTTCCCAACTCAGGCACGGGTGATCTTGATGTATTCGTAGTGTTGTTACAAGCTGCTACCCATCTAATTGTTAGGCGACGCTTTAATAGTCATATTCAGGGTCAAAGACAGAGGGAACATCGAGAAAATTCTAGGCATATACGTGTCTAACTCGGCACAGCTCGAATAAGAGGCTAGGCCCCCATCGAAGTAGATACAACTAGACACATCCCTCCTCCTTGCCTCGTGGTGCCTCGAGTTGCCTTGTGGATCATACCGCCGATTCGCCTTCACTGTACATTAATTGATATTTCGGTAGTTAGAACTTGGAACGTATAGATGATATCGATGAGCTCAAGGCTCCCCTGTGTATTTACTACCCTTGCATTATCTCAGCAGCAATGCGTTGTTTCTGCTGCTACATACATCCAGGATGATGATCATCCCAGTAAGAGTGATCAAGGACTCCGCAATGGCTCCAATAACCAGTGGAGTTAATTGGGGTAATGAATCTCGAGCGAAATCGTAAGTCCGACAGCTTGGAATTCTGTTGGCATGTTACCTAGGAATATTGTGAAGGCTATACTCCTCAGCTCGAAACGTAGGTATGTCCCAATCACCGATGAAGGGATAGGGCCTATTATACAGCTTTAGACTACATACATCGTGATGGGATCCTGAAATGTAGATGTAGTCTGAGATGATAACGTGTTGTTTTGAGCTAAGCTTCGAAGTACGTAACTCGAGTGAGATATTATGAAGTGGCCCAAAAATAAGGCCAGGTTACTAGCTGCATATATAGCGTAGTGTCAACCTCAATGTCTCAACTTAAACGCTCTGCCCCTGGTTTACGACATAGAGTTCATGTATGCATGCCTTAGTACATACAGGTAACATGGGACTTACTCCGGAGTCGGGACGGGCAATAAAGCTGCAGGCAGGGGCTCGATTTGGTATGGCCCCCCACTACACCCAGAGGTCGCTATATTTACCATCAAAAGTTATTTTCAGGCTCTTGCCTTCTTTGAGTACATGTATGCACTTGTAACTTGTTAGACCAGTACACATTTCCTACCTGAGTGTATCCTGATAGCGCACAGAGAACAGTACTACGTTAAGTATATTTTTGCCTTGATCTTCACGAGTATTTATCTTTCTTTTATTTTATTTTCTTTAAGCAAGCGATCATCATGATCAGATATAATTCACATCCGAGTTATTCCTCAGAAATTGAGGGGTTATGATTGCTTGCAATTGTAACCTGACATTTCGGGTCGTGAAAAGGTATCTACACAGAAATTGCTCACTGGGTATAGAGATAAGTAGACTACGATATCCGTCTATCAGTGTCATCACAACTAGACGAAAGGCAATCTGACGCTTCATTGCTCGTAATGTTAACAGTCCCCTGCTTGGCAAACGGCTAGCTCCCGAAGCCGCATGGATCCTTGGCAAACATAAACTGCACAGGCACACGGAACAGTCTAGCTAAGATTGTAGCAAGGTGTATCCTGCATATCAAGATTTACAGAACTGTTGTCATCGGAGTTTGATGGTGGGGATAGGCAATTACGGAGCTTGTTGCTCTTGTTCCTACTAATCAGACTCTAGCCTTACGATTCCGAAGTCCCCGAACACGCCTCCTTCGATAATTGTTCTTCATAGAGGAAATTTATCCAAGTTAGAGCTACCAGTGTAGCTAATAATTGATTCAATTATCGCAGGATACACTTAGAGCCCGAGTGTTTTTTGATTATGGCGCATTGCACTTTACGTGTTGCATGTTCGGTAGGAACGTCAACGCCGCCGCAAACCCGAAAACCCCCTTCCAATGGTGATTCCAAAGCAACGAACAGTCAATTTCAAGTCCAATTGCTATTTATGAGTGACTTGTCATGATCCTGAGCGATTTCTCGGCATATTTCGGTATCGTTGTCGTCACTGTGGGGAAGATCCCCTGGATCCCGCGCCCACATCGGGCGTAGCTTGCCGGAACGGAACAACCACGATTGCGATACCTGATTCCGAGGCTGCCGACGAAGCTAAAACCACAACCATCGGAACAACTGAGTGAAAGGGCAACTTTCAGTGCAATTTTCTTGAGCCGCGCTACTTGCCTAACTCCCCGACAACATCGTGAGGTCGACACGCGCGCTGGTGCTAGTGAATTGAAGATAGAAGAAGTAGCTCAATATGTTAGCTAATGTTATTGTTAACGTGCGACGGAAGACTTCCCAAAACTGTGTTAATTTTGAAGATGATAGGTAACTGGTTCTTTACAAGAGTATGGCGCGAGATGCTGAGACGATTGGTGTATCCACTATGTGAGGACATTTCTTTGCTGACGCTACAAGATGTGCCACCTTTGGGCTTCTCAAAGAGAGGTTCCGGTTTGTGCGCATCAATTGGTCGGTTTTCTCAAGCTCCTCACACCATACATTCGTGTATGGTGTCACTGAATTGGAGAGGGAAAGGACAGATAGTAAATTCAAGGCAAACTCCAAAGAGGGCATCGCCTTGTAGAAGTCCCAGACATTCCTTTAGTGGGGCGAGAGAGGGGATTGCCGCCAGATGTTTGTCTCCCGACGTGTACCCGGGAGTTTGTCCATCTTGTTCCGCTGGTAAGGGTTTCGTTGCGCCATTGCTGAACGGATAGCCGGTAAGGGTGCTGCAACTACTTCCGCCAACCCGTGCCAAGGTGTCAGGGCTGATGCACCTTATCGATAAAAAATGCGGGGGAGCCAGGGTGCAGTTTCACACCAGAGAGCTCACGAGCGCTAGACCATCTTGAGCTGACCCGACGTATCCCCGAGAGATATTTGCCGTACTGGCGTAGGTGGTGGGTTACGCTAGTTGAGGGGTCTTGCTAGTGATGATGACCTTAGAATTGCTTACAGAATTATTCTTGTAAGACGGTGTGAATAGCGGGAACGCACTTCTCCGTAGGATATAGCTGGTGTTTGTATGATATCGACAGGGTTTCTTTGGTAAAGTATTTAAAGTGCCCACAAGCCTGGATTCTTTTGAAATCACCATCAGCATCACTCATCACTTTCACACACTCATCTCATCAGCTCATCGATTCAATTTAGAATCGATCCTACTACGCATCAGATCATCCAGTCTTGAACAACCTGCCGGTCGTTCCCCGTTTCTATTACCGGTACGCATGCATTGCTTCTTCTGCCTATATTCCCATCGCTGAAAATCAGCATATAGCCGAACAGCTCCCCCGCTTCTTCATATAACTGTACTGACATTCCTCTCGCAACTCTCATAGCTACACACAGCTTCAAGTAGTCAACTACATCTAAATCTTTCAACATGGTATTTGCTGCTCCTCTACGCTCTTCATCCTCTCTTTTGAGACGACAATTCCTCCGTCCTTCAGTCCTTTCAGCGACAACCGCTAGAAAAACAGCTTTTGGAGCTATCTCTGGAGCTCGTACGCTAACAGCAACCTTCAATCCACAGGTCAAAGTTCTCGCAGTTCTCTACGACGTAAGTCATTCACCAAATTTTGTGTTCTGGTTCAGAAACTGATTGTAGCGCAGGGTGGTCAACACGCCAAGGACGTCCCTGAGCTTCTCGGAGCCAGTGAGAACGAGCTCGGTTTGAGGAAATGGCTTGAGGACCAGGGTCACACTCTCATTACCACTTCCGACAAGGAGGGTCCCAACTCTGTCTTCGAGCGTGAATTGGTCGATGCTGAGATCATCATCACAACTCCGTGAGTTTCCTTTATATGGCTAAGTTTGAGGTGAATAGGAACTGATATCTTTTGTAGTTTCCATCCTGGATACTTGACCGCCGACCGTCTTGCTAAGGCCAAGAACCTCAAGCTTGCCGTCACCGCCGGTATCGGGTCTGACCACGTCGACCTCAATGTTGCCAACAAGACCAACGGCGGTATCACCGTCGCTGAGGTTACTGGATCTAACGTTGTCTCCGTTGCTGAGCACGTTGTCATGACCATCCTCGCTCTTGTCCGCAACTTTGTTCCTGCACACGAGCAGATCCAGGCCGGTGAATGGGATGTTGCCGCTGTCGCCAAGGACGAGTATGACCTTGAGGACAAGGTTGTCGGAACTGTCGGTGTTGGCAGAATTGGAGAGCGTGTCTTGAGACGTCTTCAAGGATTTGAGTGCAAGGAGCTCTTGTACTACGATTACCAGGTTTGTATTTCTCGCTGATGTATAAAAACCTAGCTGACAATTTGGTAGCCTCTGTCTCCTGAGCTCGAGAAGGCTCTTGGTGCCCGCCGTGTAAACACCCTTGAGGAGCTCGTTGCCCAGTGCGACGTTGTCACCATCAACTGCCCTCTCCACGAGAGCACCAAGGGTCTCTTCAACAAGGAGCTCATCTCCAAGATGAAGAAGGGCTCATGGCTCGTTAACACCGCCCGTGGTGCTATCGTCGTCAAGGAGGACGTCGCTGATGCCCTCACCAGCGGACACCTCCGCGGATACGGTGGTGACGTTTGGTTCCCTCAGCCCGCCCCTAAGGACCACCCCCTGCGCTACGCCAAGAACCCCTTCGGTGGCGGAAACGCTATGGTTCCCCACATGTCTGGTACCTCCATCGATGCTCAGAAGAGATACGCTGCTGGTACCAAGGCCATCATCCAGAGCTACCTTTCTGGAAAGCACGACTACCGCCCCGAGGACTTGATCGTCTACAATGGTGACTACGCTACCAGGTCTTACGGACTGAGGGAGAAGAAATAAATCTTCGGTCTGTATCAGGGAGCATGAAATTATATCATTGATGTTTGTGTTCTGTTTCATATTGTTGATTTTTGTATGAAAGCTCAAGCCGGTGTTTTATTTTGTTTATGTTATGCTGGATTTGATGGGATTTATATGGGAAATTTTATGGATGTATATTAAGGTTGAATTGAGCTAAGCTAAAATCTGATAAAAAAATTTAACCGGGAATGAATCATAACCAATCACTCGAGTGGGCTTTGGGCCGCGAAATAAACAGTGAATAATTGGACCCATGCAAACGAACGTAATTCGGTTACAACTCACCACTTTCTAATCTGAAAGTGCAAAAAATCGCACTGAGTCAAGTTGCAGTTGCGAGTAATTAGCCGGTTCAGGTGATATAAACTTTTTGACAGACCCAGAAATCGGAGTCTTCCTTTTCATATTGGCACATACCAAGGGCAACGCTAACGAGGCTTTGGAGATTCAAGACAACGCTTTGTGAATTCATTTCTGTAAAACGGAAATCCGCATCCCCAAGTTAAGGTATCCTAGCCTTTCAATGACGAGTGATAGTATATGACGCAAACGGACGACGTAGTAACATGGCGCTAATAGTTCACGGTTAATCTTTCTGTAAGCTCGACGTGGTCATTGTAGATATAGACGTAAGTTACAGACGCGGCAGAACGTGTGGAAGTGCGGACCTCTCTGTATATGCAGTAATATATGTTTCGATTGGTAGACCGATTGATGAGATACTGTCTTGTGATAGTGGGTGGTATCGGGCCTGTCAATACCGTCGGGGAAGGTTGTATTATATAGAACTAAGAGCTCCTAATATATCTTCCCATGGTGTAACTAATTTGGCTAAATATTATTCCATTAGTAAATAGGAGCCTCCGAGACCTCCAGGAAATGAAAATACTCGCTCCATTATAAGGAAGCTAACTGAGCAACGCATTGCTAGTCATAGTAGTCCTCCGTACTATACTGGGGCAACCTTACCATGGCCAGGTTGAATTATGGGTTGCGTGGGCCTGGCTATCAAATTCTGAGTCTGGCCCATCCTGTGGAGCCAGATTCGGGCGAGGGTTGTATCCTGCCCATAAATTTAATTGAGTAAAAAGCGGACAATGCACTTGTCATTTGACATTCACCGCTCCGTCCCATCTATGCTGAGCCTATCGCAGCTTAGCAGTCTGTCTTATCTATGATAAGGCTATCGCAACTTGGCATTTATGTCTACCCTTTGCGCATACCCTAACGTACTCTAAGAGTGGCCAATTTACTCTTGGCAAAATCTTCCTCCAGCTATATATACAGCTCAAAGTTCGCCTCTTTCTCTCTCTCCTTTAGAAATTATGCTTGCATGCTTTCGTTCTTGCGCTGGCAAACGAGGGAAGTTTTCTTCTCCTCTTTTGCCGGCGTAAGAACAGCTGCAGCTTCAAACTCGTGGCCCTCTGTCCACCCAGTTCTCCTTTGAACTGGGAACATGGCCCTCTTACCGGTTTCCCCGTTTAAAACTTTTTTTAAACGGGAACCGCGAAGCTACGGTTGCAGCATTCTTTGGTGGGTTAGGGTTTCTTTTTTGTAGGTTTTTCTTTTTTTTCTTTCTTCCATTTTGTATATAGATCATTTGTTTTTCTTGTATGTAATTAATATCGTTTATATATAATTAATTCTCTTTATCTATTTATTATTTCAATCAACATGTATAATGTGCATGTTTTCTCTCGTAATATTAGGTTGTAAAAGAGTTCGTGAATCGTTGTTTGCGGAGAACGTACGGGCCCTCATCTGCATGACCTGGCGCCCTCACAATAAAATAGAGTCCAACTACATATGAATCTCTTAAGCTTGGCTCATAAATAACAAGATCGACGACTTACGCGGATTAAGTAGGCTCGGAAGTCTAATCTGAGCTAATCAGCTTGCCTTGCCTGTGCTTAGGTATAAGAGATTAACGATGGGCATTATAGGATAGAAATCAATTTCAAACCTCAGATTTCTTACATTCCAGACAGCATAGCTACACACCCTTGAGGCGGGGCAAATTAATGTCCCCGGAGGCACCCGTATTCACCCAAAATAACAAAAAAAAGCACAGTATCTCCTTGGGATCATGGGTACTTAAGGCACCTCATACCCTTCCCCATTCCCAAGAACCCCCGATAACGCCCAATATGTGTGAGCAATACGCACACCGACTGCACTGCTCTCTAACGTTAACGTCTAGCATCCTGAATTGATACTTAAGAAGACTGATGCTCGAACGCCAAGAGAACACCAACCCTAACCCTTCACATGAAAGATGAAAAGCAATCATTTCCATCACGGATTCAAATAGGACAAGTAAGTATGGTTCCCCCAGCCTTAAAGGTAACATGAGAAAAATGCCAAGTCTCTGATAACTTTTCAACCACGATTGATATTAAAAATCCGTAATGATAGAACTCTTCTTCATCACGGTATCCAGCCTTCTATCATTACGGATTTTTTAATAACAATCGTGGTTGAAAAGTTATCAGACTTGGCATTTTTCTCATGTTACCTTTAAGGCTGGGGGAACCATACATGCAGTTTGGCTCCCACTTGAAACTACGTACTTTATCTCCAACAGAGATACTTGTACCGCCATAAACCAGATCCTCGTATATAAAAAGAACACCTAACTACTGCAATAACAGCTATTCACTACCCGCGGGCCGCGGCTGCGTCTATACTAAAACACCCCAATCTCTCCTCCTCCAACTCACCTTAATAGCGGTCCGGGCCGGGTGTTTAGCCTAACATCAGCGAATCTTACTTTGCATACTATACTATCCACGGTATCCTTAATCGCAAGCAAGCACGTATTCTAAAGAGAACGGGCCATCTATAGACCTTTAGTCCTCCATCTTTTTCGATGCGGGCCATCGGTCTGCCCCCCATGATAATCCATCACCTAGCTTAATTAAGCTTAGTAGCTAATAGTAGGTACTTGCAATAGATATATAATTCATTCATTCATTCATACCAGTCGATCATATCATGCTATATAATGTACCCCAAAAGCCAATAAACAAACCACCCAGCCATTCACCCACCCCCCCCCCCCCCACCCATCCCACCGACCCCCAACGCACCCCTCCCAAAAAAAGCCACAACCAGAAAGAGAAAAAGAAGATATAAAAAAAGATAAAAGAGAAGAGAATAAAAATAAGAAACGATAAGCTACTCTACTACTAGTACTCTACTACTACTACACGCACTAATTTGCGGTTGTCGTCGGCGCCGCCTGAACATCAGGCCTAATCACCTCTCTGCTCAACAGCGCCCTCAACTCAGGACTAATGACCACTCCCGGCCCCTCATTCTTCACCTCCTTCCCCTTACCCGCCACCTGCGCCCCGCTCCCACTCCCACTGGCTCCAGCCGAACTAGACGCCCCCGCACCGCCAATCGTCCTCCTCCTCACGGCCGTCCCCGGCGCCGGCACCACCCCCGCCTTTCTATCCACGGCCTCCACCGTCCTCTGAAACCTCCTAAACAGGCTCTCCGCCCTCGCCCTCACTATATCCAACTCAATCGTGCCACTCAACTCATTCACATACTTCAGCACCTCATCAAAGTGCATCAAATGCTCCATAATCACCCCCCGATGCTTCTGCAGCACCGCCAGCGCCACAAACAGATGGAACTGGCTGCTCAGATAGCTCGTCCACAGCGTCTCCCACAGCCGCAGCACGTCGTCCCACGCAAACTCGCGCTTGTACCACACGAGCAGCATGCGGAAGAAGAAGAAGAAGTTCGTCGAGTCGGCGCTCTGCAGATGTGCGTACAGCGGCGGGTCCATGAGCTGCACGAGGTGGTCGAGGGTTACGAGCTGCGCGCGCATGCCACTTTGGTCGCGCAGGAAGTTGCGCTCCATGCGGGTCATGAAGCCGACGAAGGCCCAGAAGGCGGCGGCGTCGTCTTGTAGGACGGCGTAGATGGGCGCGAGGAGGTCCGACATGCCTTGCACGTAGCCGAGGGTGGTGTTGTACTCGTTGTAGGTGAGTAGCATGTCTTTCATCTGCTCCATGTGCACGTTTGTGCCGACCTCTGCGAAGGGCGAGTCGGGGTCTGGGTGCGGGATGTCTTCGCCGGCAAAGATGGGGGCGTTGCGGTCGGTGCGGTGAACGTCTTTTTCTACGGCTGTTGTTAGTGCCAATGATCCCGGGGACGGAAATGATAAAGGGGGAGGAAAGGGGTTACCAATACGATTCTTCTGGTCGCGCCAGTACTCGTCGCCGTTACGGCGGTCAATATCGTCCCACCACTTACCTTTGAGCCGAACGTACTCGTCGCGCTTGCTATTCATGATCGCGATCCTCTCGTCCCGCGTGCTGTCCCACGGATACACATCCAGCAGCCACAGCCAGATCTCCTTCCTGGCCGCGCCAGGCTCAATCCCGCCATGGAAGATGCGCTCCTTAACCTCCATCTCCGTGACCATGAGTCTCCCCGTGCTGTCCAGCCAGCGGTTCCACTCCTGCAGCGTGACCGGCTTCGAGTCCTGCCCCGACTCAATATCGAGGATCTCAAACTCGCCGACGGCCGAGTCCTCGAGCTCCGTGACGTCGCGGTTCGTCCACACAACCCGTCCCTGGTCGCGCTCGCTCTGCTCCGCAATGCCCATGGCCCACCTTGCGAGGTACAGCCGCGCAGAGTCAAACTCATCCTGCAGATTGACGACATCCGGGTTCTTCAGCAGCCTCTTCACCGCCGGCGGCACCGCCCCACTCTCCAGAATCTCCTCCGCCGTCCGCCGCGTGAACCTCGTTACCCTGGTAAACCTTTCCAAGAAGCTCCACCTTGCCTCCTTCCACACCTTCGTCAGCGGGTCCATCCCCGCACCGCCGCTGCTGCTGCCCCCCTCATTCGCACGATCCACCCCAATCGTGCCAATCGGCTTATGGATGAAGCTCGTCAGGTCCTCCTTACTCGGATCCACCAGATACACGCTCCTCTCCACCTCGCTGCGCTCCACCCTCACAAACCGCCTCAGCCACCGCAGCACCTCGTCGCCACCCCAGAACAGCCCGCCCTCCTCCCCAAACGGGTCAAAGTTCGCCTTTGCGCGCTTCTTGCTCTGCGCGATGGTGCTCGCACATTCACTGTCATGGAAGAACAGCGCAGGAAACGAGTCCCCGCCGCGCGTGTTCACCACCACGCTGCCCCACCACCACCCCAGGTTCGGCGGCCGGATGAGCAGGCTGTAGATCTGCGACACGGGCACGGCGAAGGCGTAGTTGGAGAGGGATGTGCCGGTGGGCGGCGGCGGGACCAGGTACGAGGTGCGCGGCGGGGACTCGTCGCCGATGAGGTCGACTTTGACGTATGTGTCGTAGGCGTCGCCGAGCGCGGACTCGGGCAGCCAGGTTAGAAGCAGGGATGAGGGGGTGGATTCGGGGCTGGTCTCGGAGTGGAGGGAGGGGGGCGGCTTTTGTTGCAGGAGGGCTATGAAGCCGGGGATGTTGTCGCGCTGGGAGGGGGTGGGGTGAACGTAGACCTGGGATGGTTAGCATAGCTCTAGCTAGATAGTAGTAGTAGTGATAGTAGATAGTGGACGAGGTGGTTATAGTGGTTGTAGATATGGCTGACTGACCTTTGACTTGCTATACAGAAGCTTCACACCCCTGCCCGAGCTCGTATGCGTGATCGTGCTATAATCCTCCTCATCATTATCGCTCAGGTCGTAGTAGCTCCCGCTGGGGCTCGCGGGCGGCGTGTATTCAGGCATCTTCTTCTTACTGGAACTCATACTGTCCTTTCCTTGTGGATATGGGGAAGGAAAGGGGGGGAGGAAGGGATGAAGTGGGTTTCGTGTTGAGTATGGAGGGGTGATGGCCGCCTTCGCTGGTGAAGGTAGTCAAGGTGGTGGTGGTGGTGGTGGTGGTGGTGGTGGTGGTGGGTGGCGGTACTTAGATCATCGGGTGTGGGATGACGACGCAGCGTGGCACGTGAACGTGGCTGGGCGGGGTGTTGAGGTGCGAGCTGCGTTGCTTGCAGGGATGCGCGTCAAGTGTGGGGATCTGGAGTCGGGGTGCAGATTTTCTATGGGGGCATCTTCACATTGACGGGTTTCATAATCGCGATACGTACTCCGCTCTGCGGAGTGGGGCGGAGGGGTAATGATAATAGATAGCTATGAGTATTATTTCGGCACTAGGACTTGCACTTGGGGGTAAGCCCGGTACTTCCTATTCCGTAAAATAATAGCCAGCCCGTAAGCTTACGGCTACTAGTATTTACTGTCACTGCTATCATTACCGCTTGATCTCGGCCGCCGATAAGACCGATAACGGGAGGTACCTGCGCCCTATATAGTCGCTCACATATATCCGGCCTTACTACTCTACTTACAGGTACATGTAGGTACCGTCCCCAACCCAGCACCTACACCCTACATCAACTAGGATCTCCCCCATCATGGGTACACCAGACAAGGCGACCCCCAGCACCACCATACCTGCCGCATCCCTCAAACGCGGGGTCCACTGCAAAACACCCCTCCAAGCACGTCCTTAATCTCATCGTCATCAATTGAGCATACACGTTCTAATGCACAGATGTTTATTCGTAAATACACCAACCAACGGCCCATTGTTATTAGAACACCGTATCGATCCCCCCCTCCCCAAAGATGAAAAGTTACAGATATGAAGGAGAATAAGAAAAAATGAAAAGAGAAAGAAGAAAAAAAAAGAACACAGCAATACAATAAGTCGCTCGAAGATGCAAACTTTTCCTCATAACCATCGTGGAGCCCTATCATGAATAGAACGCAAAAACAAACAAGAAGTAAGAAGTAACAAAGAAGAAAGAAAGTAAGAAAAGAAGAAAAGTAAAAAGAGCAAAAATTCATCAATCAATATGCATATTTAAAAGAAAAATCTATAGTAGTGGCAGTAGTAAAAGAAGTAGTAGTAATAATCGTGAACAGAAGTAAAGAAGAGAAGAGAGGTATGAGATCACGACTCAACCTAATATCCTCCGCCCCTCTGTCCCCTCAGAAACCCAGAACCACTAGGCATCCCTACCCTACCACCGCTACCTCCCTGCGGCGGCCTCCTCAAGTTGCCACCGCTCCCGCTGCTGCCACCGCCATAATACCCAGGCACCCCCGGTGCACCGTTGTACGACTCGGTGTCCTCCCATGGCATACCTCCACCCTGTCTCCTCGGTGGCGGCGCGCCCCCGCCAAACATATGCTCACCCGGCATCTGTACACTCTGTGGCGCCGGCGGCGGCGTGAACTGTCCCTGCGGCGGAGGGCTCGCCGTCCTACCACCCCACAACCTCTCCTTGATCCTCTGCTGGGCACTCGTCAACGCTTTTCCGGCCCCACCGGGTCCGTCCTGCACCGGCGTTGACGACTTCCTCTCATCGGGGAACAAACTCGGCTGCTGTGGGTGTCTCTGCGGGCCGCCGGGAGGCTGCTGCTGGAACCGTTGCGGCTGCGGGTTGTCCCAGATGTCGGAAAGGGACGCGTTGACACCCTGCCGATTGTGGCCGGGAGGCGGCATCTTGTTGGTCTGACGGAGGGATTGTGCGGGCGGGGGGCCACCGCCGAGCCAGTCGGGGATGGGCCTGTCGTTCTCCTGGTAGTAGGTGCGAAGGCAGCGGGCAAGGTGGGAATCATCCTCCGTGTCGCCGTCATCGGTGTCGCCGCGGATGGACTGGTAGCGGGACTTTGTCGCGGTGAGGATACCGGAGAAGTAATTAGCCATTGCTGTTGAAGGCCTAGCTAGGTTGTTTGTTGTTGGTGTTTATTTAGGGGGTTGTGAGGGAGGGTGGGTGGAGGTATGTATGTATGTGTACCTTCCCGTGCGTGCTGCTGTTGCTTTCTATGGGAGGCGAGGAGGGGGCACTAGCTTTGTCTCTCCTCTTCTCTTTATGTTGTCTTTTTTATTCTCGGTCCTCGCGGCTGATAAGATGTATGTATGTAGGTACAGTACGAGATCGATCTATTACGGGAGACGGGGATATTATTTTATTGCACGTCTCGCGGTACGTACTCCTGTGTAAACAGAAGCTGAGAAGAGAGAAAGCGAGCGGGAAGAGAGCTCCGATGGCTGGATGGAAGATGGATTGGATTGGATGGATGTGATGGATGGAGGGAGGGAGGGAGGGATTGAATTGGATGGGTGGATCGATGCGTGAGTTCTGGCCTTGCTTATGCTGCAGCCACGGCGTCTGTTTATTTTTGGCTAAACTTTGCGGGGTCACGTGATGCCCAGGCAAGGGCGCTGTTTATGCATAACAAAGGGAACGAAACGAGAGGATGGATGAGTAGTCGTCACGGAAAATCACTCGGCACATCACTCGGGGCGGTTTGGGATTGGGCTCTGCTGGATGGGCTAGAAACCGGGGTAGATTTGACACCCTTTGACCTGTCAAAACCGATCTTGATGAGCTCGAGGCGGGGGGTTTCTATGCTATTTCTGGTAAGTTCTGGTGGAGCCAATCATGCCATTGCGAGAGGAATAGAGTTGGGTAATATAACATGCAAATACAATATAGCTGGGTCAAATGGAAGCTTTACCCCGATATATTCTGTTAGAAAGGTATATAAATTGTACCTAGATACCAATCATTCAAAGGAGCTAGCAATATCTTTCGAGATCTTTCTGCCTTACAGAACTCTTCCGCATCGTAAGGCAAGTGCCAATTTTCCTTTCCACCTTTAGAAGCTTAGCTAAGCTGATCTTTTAGCGATTGAAACCGGCATACCCACAACGCTCAAGAACTAAAGTAAATGTAGTATTCTTACTACTCTCTAGCGCGAATACAGACATACCGGCCCCAGACGGGAATCTGACGATACTGCCGTATATACCAAACAGCTATATAGCCCACACAGAAGGTATCAATCCCCAACAACCACTGGCTATAAATATCAGATCAAAAATCTTGGCCACCACAGAAATCCCCGCTGCTATTCTCCAGACTGTCCAATCTAAGGTTGAGGCCTAGCTAGCCTAGTGAAAAATACTTGGGCTCACGCAGTACCCTAGGCAATGAGCGGAGGATACTAAGCTTTCTCGCGTTCCTGCGTAAAACGCCTCCAAGAAAATCATCAACGTCGGCTCAATTAAAACCCCGAGATCCAACTGCAGAGATAGAGCTAAATTCAGAGCACGATTAGGCTTATAGGACCCGGGCCCGAGTATTCCGCCCCCAGTGAGTCCTAGAAGTACGCACCCGGCCGCGCGGCACGGGTTGCTTCCGCCTGCAACCCAAGCCCGCGCACCGGCGGCCGGATCCGCGGACACCAGGCGACATACGCGCCTCCAAGCCGAGGAGCTAACGGGCCGAGGGAGTAGACTTACTTTAGTGCGGGGGTTGTCCGGATTATTAACGGACAATCCAGTCAGGACTAAGCTGAGAATTCCATTCACTACATGTACCTGCGGCGCGGCGCTTATAGAGCTAAGGTCTCTTGCTCAAGCTGGCCTAAAGTACGGGTAGAACCTACCTGGACGGTGAAGTTGCTAAGAGTACTGTTATCAGCTTTAAAAGGCACAGTTTTGTGGAGTCAATATATACATGTATACATTGACAGTAGAGATGATCTTCTCTCGCCACATGAAGGGATACCGCACAAGGCCGCCGGCCAGTCATCTTGGTAATGATCAATAAGGCCGTTTCTACAAAACAAAAAAAAGGGTTTCCAAACCTCCCCAGAACAAGCTTTACCGACTGGCCGACCTCGCGCGATTATACCGCTGATCTGTGGATCAGTATAAACCCCACAAATCCACACAGATAGATAACCAGGCCGGCTTCCGACATATCCAAATCACAACAACCCAACTCCTATAGAAGAGGGACGCATGCACTTCGAAGGCTAGTCTCAGACCCTCTTATAAGCCTTAACCTTAACCTGTACCACGAAATGGGCAAACCTGGGCCCAAAAAACACTTCGAACCGGCCGTTTGTGTTCCTAAAGCCAGACCTACATCCGTAAACCCAGACGAACCAGATATATATGCTAATGACGATAACTACCGTACCGCCACATGCATGGCCAATCACTCGGCCGTCGTTCATAACCCGTCACTCGCAAGCTAGGGAAAATATATCTAGAGCCCATCCATGCCGGTTTCTGTTTTATGTACATCTGGGAAGCTTCGATTGTAGAGGAGTTTAGAGGACTTGGGGGTCGGTGGGCGGAGTTGGAGGAGCCGGCCCACCAGTCTGAGGACCTGTGGTTTGGATCAGCGCCGGATCGGGCCTGTTGCAGGCTTTGGTATGGTCTATATGCGGAATCCACACTACAACGGTCGGAAACCGCGATTTAGGTGGGTCTGGGTATATTGCGATGGTGTATCGGCGATTTGAGTATAATCCGGAGTCGTTTATGGTCAGTGCTGGGGGGTTTGGTGCGTCATGGTTGGTCACTCGGCCGTGATAACTAACTATTCTACAATTAAAAGAAAGGATGGATGATGATGATTCTTTATTTAATGCTAGCTAGTTACATGCTTGCTCCTTTTCATAGATTACACCCGTTATAGACTATTAAGTTAGTCGTCGTCGTCGGGTCAGAACACGCCCTACTCCACGACCGTCCACCCCCCATACTCCACCACCTCCGGCGCCTCCTCCAAATACACCAACGCCGCCAGCCCCTTCGCCAACACCCTCCACGCCTTCCTACTTCTCCAACACATCCATGGCCCCCCCTCCACCCACGGCACAACCCTACACCTCCCCTCAGCACACCCCTGCATCCCCGCCGCCCCCCGATCCGCACTCACCGCCCCCACCACCACATCCTGCACATACTCCGCGCCCCGCGGCCTCCCCCCCGCAACCCACTCCCACTCCTTCCCCTCCACCCTCCCCACCCTCAACCCACCCTTCACCGCCGCCCCCTCCCCCTCCATAAACACCCATAGCACCCCCTGCCCTCCCCCCGCATACGCCAGCGCCAGCCCCAGATTCTCAGTCGTATACACGCCCCTCCCCAGATCCGTCGGCTCGACCGCCGCAGGCCCAAACGCCCCCACCGCTACATCCACATCTCGCCGCGTGGTGCCTCTAAACTGACAGCAATACCCGCGCAGCCCCACGCGCTCCAGGAACGCCTCGACGAGTCTTGCGGTCTCCGGGAAGTTGCGGCCGGGGGTGAGGCGCGTGGCCCAGATCTTGCGCGGCGGGAGGAGGGGGTCGGGGTGTTTGTGCGGGTAGAGCCACGGGAGGGGCATGCGGATGTCCCACGCCCGGACGCGCTCGGGCATGGGTGTTGCGGGCGTGTGCAAGCGGGTGAGGAAGGTGGGGAAGGGTAGGCCCAGGGGGATGTCCAGGCGCGGGGGGAGGGTGGAGGGGATGGGGAGGGAGAAGAGGGTTAGGAATTCGGTGATGGAGGGGCGACCGAGGAGGGTGGTTTGCAGGAAGAGGGGGCGGGCGTTGTTGAGGCCGTGGGCGGTCATGTCGGCGGGGGAGTCGGGGTCGGGGAGGGGACCCATTGTGAGAGGGTGTTTCTTTTTTGATGTAGCTAGATGTGTGCGGGTATAGTGCGGTCTATCTGGTGATAGTGGTCGATGTGGGGCGGGTGTTGTGGAGTTGAGATAGTGGGGATGGAGAGAGGTGAGTGGTCGAGTGACGTCCTGTGAATGCCGTAAACAGCAACTCGCAAAGCATAACCCTGTCGGGCTGGCAGCACGCGGGTATCATTATTACGATGTGCACCGAACGCCGTGGCTCGCTGGCGAAGTGTGTCTCAAAGAGGTTTAGTGGAGAAGACATAACTCTTAGATGTGCCTGTCATGATGAGATAAATCGACATTTAATAGTTTGGTCAAATACTGATAGAATCCTAAATCTCAACCCCGGGGTCCATTATTATCGTAAAAGCGCCAGGATCGAGTATATAATTCCCCCAAATTTCCCTGGATCACTCGATCCCGAGAGATACGATAAACATCATCCCATTCGAATCATCACAACTAAAAAAACATGACCTAACCCTGGAAACAACCCTAGCCCTGACAGCTTTGGTGCGAAATGCTGCTTCGAGGAGGAGTTAGTATTAATACCTACGAGCATTATAGTAACTCTAGCTAGACTGCAGTACTTTGCTTGATTCGTAAAAGCTACATTTAGACCAGTACTATGTATCCTGGCTCGTATCTAACTAGAAACCCTCTCGTTTTGGATGTCCTGGCTACATATTGTTCTACACGGAACTTTGGAGCCGACCTATCGAGTAAAGAGTGGTCAAAATGCGGTAGATAACGTGATATTTGGGACCTTTTTTTTAAAAGATTTTGTTCAAGTCAAGATATGGATACTAATGGCTTAAATATGTAGCCGAGTCTGCTGCTGCTGAGTATTAGACATCAAGACACGTACCGTGGGTTGTGGCCTTTTTAAAGCCCTAGAACGAATATTTCTGCCGTCTTGTGATAAATCATCCCCGAGCTAATCGTCCATTAATCTTTCAACTCCCTTATTACCGTAAGGTATCAATACTCTATGCCAGAATCATTCCAGCATTGGTCCATCATCCAAGAATATCCACGAGCTTCAATATCAATCTAGACCCCTAAAGCCACTGCTTACTGGAGTCAATATACACCCAACTCTACCCAGTTTCGTGATAACCACCATCTCCTATGGCGTTTTCCGTCTTTACCAACCGACTTTCTTCGCAAGAGATTGATCTCCGTAATTCAAGTACATATATTCCGGTGCAGATGCCAAAAGAAGGAAACGGGGTGTCTCTTTTCTCGGGGGGATTGGAAGACATACCTGTTATGGTATGACTATCATTACGTACATATATCGCCAACTGTTCCAGACCCTAGAAGATTCCGGTACAAGTTATTACAGACGTCCAGGTCTGTGACAATCGGCGTCGATCCTCCACCTACGGGATTCCTTCCCCCAAAAGAAAACGGGGTGAAATGACTACCATAGAACCACGGAATTTAGTGCAGAATACGGAATTGAACCGGTATTACGAGAAGAATACTACATCAATACTGCATTACTAGCGCGTTAACGGGAATAACGTTGTGAATCTATATTTCTCTAGCCGTTAGTCCAAGTCGAAAGTCGAAAGGTAAATATCAACATGGCAGATATGCTCTCCTGAATGCCGTAATGTTCGTTCTCGTTAAATCTGTTGATGTCTCTAGTACTGGGGCAGGCAATAAGAACCCGAAAGTTCAAGCTGCAATTATTAGGGGCTTAAATTGACCTACATGTACTAAGTATGTGTCTAGTAGCTCAATGATAGGACGGATACATGTATGTATATATGACTAGCGCTAAACTGAGCACAGCTTCCAAATGCAGTTGCATTTCGCGACGGCCTTAGCAGGGATAGGGTAATAGCGGCTCAGAGAACTGAAGTAAATCCTTCAGTTGATCCCTAGTTCCAATCTCCAAGAGAAAAAGAAATTCCTACAGCCAAGAGCCGGTCCTGAACGCATTGGGCTTCCTTGAAAAAGAAAGCATCCCACAGATGTAGACCGAGAAATACTTAAGGACTAAATCTTTAGCATCGAGTATATATCAGAAAGTGATACGTCAACTACAGCTATATAGGGGTAGAATGCATGACTTTCCCCTCCAATTTAGAAATTGGAATATGAGTCAACTGTAAGGCCTCTTGGCCCCCTGTAGTCAAGCTTTTGGGCTCCATGCTCGCCTATTTCTTCGCTCAGGACCCTGCATATACATATTGATCGAGTGACAGCCCATGAACTCGCTCGGCATACGATGCTTTCTGCCGCCAAGAAGAACCATAGGTCGGTTGAGGGGGAGAGGGAGACTGTCCGCGAGGCAGTGAAAAAGTGGCGTAACTATCGTGATATGAAGATTTCTTAGAATCGGCTCGCTGTGATCATGAGGGAAGGTGTTTGTACAGTCTTTTGAAAGTAATATGGCTTACAAGCGGGCAATTGCTAATTACCCGAGAGAGGGCGCTTTTGCCGCAATGTCCACTGCTACGTGGAGGAAACGTTTCGTGATGGTGGGGGAGGATGTTGATGAGGGGAGTGTTGGTCGATGTGTATTCAATTGATCAAGCTGGTTGATATGGTTGATCTGAGTGGATCCAGCTGCAGGAGGTTGTTCAATAGGACGTACGTTAGGAGCTTCAACCCGTTCCTAGGAGAGTTCAAGTGTTGAACCACACGTGACGTTAAAAAGGGAGCGAGCGAGTGATACGCTGTGCATGTTTCCAATCAGCCGTTCAAACCTTCATTGATGTCTTTCCCAAAAGCAAAGTTTACAATACCACTCACTTTTCTTACAATCGGTGCCCTTTGCCTACATTGTCTCCATAACACAAAGCGTTGACTCGATGCGTTTGCATACATGCATACATTTACGTAACTGCCAGAGGTAAATCAAGCTTAAAGGGCCGATTCGATATTCAGTTCTACTTTAACGCCCGAACTGGGTTTTTTTTTAAGTCTTATTTTAGGCTTAAATAAGCATGATATTTGCCTTTTTTGACGATTTTTTCTTATTTCTTTTTAAAGTCCTTATTAGACTATGGTTTCGATAATCTTAAAATAATTTAAGGCTTAACGGGCTTGATCAGTCTTATTTAAGGTATTTTTGAAAAATAAGGCTGAATAATGTTTATTCGTGAGATCAGCATGATAGCCTGATAGGTATACTTTTACACTTATTCGCCATAGTGAATTTCGGAAATGAAGTTTTTATTAATACTGAATTTAATATGTACATTGATTTAAGACAATCTATTTATCTCCCCGCCTACACCCCCTACCTGCCTACCTGCCTACCTGCCTACCTACCTATTGACCTAGTTCACTCAATTGGGTGCTCGACTAGGTGCTCGATTAGGTGTTCGATTAGGTGCTTGATTAGGTGCTCTATTTGATGCTCGATTTGCTGCTCTATTTGATGCTCTATTTAGTGCTCTATTCGGTGCTCGATTTGGTGCTTGGTTCGGCGCTGCTGCTGCTAGATTCGCTGATTAGCCTATGTTTTTGATGATTAGGAGATTGGGGGGGGGGGGGGGGGTGGTGCTAGGAGAGTAGAGGGGACGGAGGTGATAGAGAGGTAGAGGGGCCGAGGGTACGTATTAAAGAACAGATGGAAGAACACGGTTTAATATTTGCTAAGTGCCCAACCCTAACCCAGCTAAACCTGACGAATTTCCATAATGCTTATTTATTTGGTAATCATAATACTATTAAAGGTCTTAAAAGAGCCTTATTTGGTGGTAATATTAAGCAAATATCATGCTTTTACCCAAAACACGCTTATTTTTTGCTTTTTTGAGATATATGCCTTATTTAATTAAAGCTTTTCTACGTCTTAGAGCTCAAAATAAGGCTTATAAAAAAACCATATCGGGCGTTAATGTAGCTAGGCTATGCTCAAGACGTAAAAACTATAGAAAGGCACTTACAAGGCCGGTTTAGTTTATCGACAATATAGTTTCGATCGTGGTGACGAAGTGAAATACAGATATTCCCATGGTTTCCCAATGCCCATCCTCTCAACTCTCTTTTTTGAAGTTTCTCTTTCCCCCGCAAAAAAAATCAATGCTTTCATCGTCCCTTAAATGGCCCATTCAAGCGAGTTATAGTATCTATAAATAGAATAGTCAGGTATCTCTGTCATCACGAAAGTTCTATTGGCTGGTTACCTGTAGTTACCCCCCTTCTCTATAGTCCGGTGGGCTACAGCTGTCGATAGACAAGGAACTGATTCCACCAGGATCCGGGATCGAGTGTATTAAGGGAGACGACAGGCATGTTTTTCCAAATCATCAAACCACGAGTTCTGTCATGATATATAATAGCCCCTCCGACCATTAAGGTTATAAACCTTCATACTTTCCATCAATAGTTCTTCCGAAACTAACACTTCACGCGAGCAAGGAGGGGCCCAGCATGCCGCGCAGTGGCAGGCGGCCCGACTGCGTGCGAGGAATTGATATTTATTTCGAACCACTAAACAGAGCTGCGCTGTGAGTTTTCTGGATCTTTATATACTTTCCTTTATAAATTTAGATATCAGCGGTCCCTCGAACTGATGTTTAATTTTATATGCGGCCGGAGGCCGCTCCTCACTAGTATGTATATACATGTAACCTTAGGCCCAGGCTGGTCCTAGATCCTGAAAATAAGTATATATATAAAGCGGTGAAAGGTACGTACGACAATCTGCAATTTTCAAACACATGAGACTTGAGTGGTGCCGTAAAAAATTTCTTCTTTCCTAAAAATGTAACCCCTCCCTTAAACCCACTAGATGCCTTGGAAGTGTTCAAGATATTTAACTTTGGTTGGTGTTCTTCCGGGCCGAACGGCTAGCACGGCTATTCCGGGTAGGTGCAATTTTGAAGTTCCTTTCGCCCATTTGATAGGCAGTTACTGTAGGTGATTATTTTCATCTGATAAACCCTATCACTCATGATCTACCATTTAAGGTTGATTTCTAGCGAGAACGGGAACGGGAGCGGGCACGGGCACGG